TTACGTAAAAGAACTATGTTGTAACAGTAACACAATATACAAAACTAAATGTGTATTTTTAAGAAGATAAATATAAAAACAGAGTTTTTACATGAAATACAATTAAAAATAAGTCAAAACGTATTAATATAATATGATTACTGAATATGAAATGTTTTAAATATTAAACAGGTTTCTTAACGTTTACAGGGCTTGCTATCGTACGCACTCAATGTCTAACTAAAATTTAAAACAATCACAAGGGCGTATTTGTGGAGGTCAATCTTTCCACCTGCAATTCATTTTTTCATTAATAAAAAAAGCTAAAAGTACAATAATATGTTGAATAATTGACAGAAAAAAATTATTGAGGATAAAAAAATGATATAACAACACACATGTTATTTTTTTATTATCATACATAGAATTCGAACATCTTTATCAATAATTTAAAATTTAAAACGTTTTACCTTCCCTCAAGAATCGTATAAGGCTATTTTCACAACGAACATAATCATTATTTGAAATTTAATCATTCAATTTTTAACATTTGCACAATCAAATTTTATTTTTTTTATATTTTAATAATTCATTTTTAAGAAACATAAAAATAACTATTTTTTATATTCTAAATTTAATAATATGCGTGTTTACAATGTGTGTAACACAATAAGTACTTAAAACATTTTTTAATGTTCATCTTCGAGAGTTTTTTTTAATAACAAATTAAATCTAGTTTGTACTTTGAAGAGGTAAAAATGAAAAATTCCTAATATTTTTCAAAATTGTGTAAAACAAATAAAAATTAATAAAAAAGGAAGAACATTCGCACCAAATTAGTTTTTGACCAAATTTATTTTGTTTTTTTTTTTGATGTAATTATAATTGTATAAAATTTAAATTTTCACCAAATTATGATATAACCATTTTCTATACATAGTATCATTTTTAAAGTAATATTTTAACTCTTTTTGAGCTGTTTATAGACATTTGATATTTTTATTTTTTTTTTTTTTTTTCGTAAATGTCGATAAAAAATAGTTAACTGAATAAAAAAAGTTTTATATTTTAATTAAAGGCTCACTTATGTTGCCTATTTTTAAATTAAAAAATATCATAAATTTATATTCATAATATTTTTTATACGTGTCTAATTTAAGAATTTTGACGAAATACGTAAAATCTTGAACATTTTCAAATTATATTGTAATTGGAAAATCGTGGAAATTATTTTTAAATAAATAGTATAAAGAATCTTAAAACATGTACGTATATAATTATATTTTACACACATAATTATATTTTCAATTTCAATGTTTTCAACAAAAATATATTTATTCTACCATGTTACGAATACAAATAGTAAAATAAATTAGTTTATTAGCAATATCAAAAAAAGTAACATAAAATATACTTGTGATATTATATAGGTTGATAGGCTATTTCTGCTCAGAGATGTTTTTTTGTTTACAATAATATATTTTTGAGTTTAAATTTAATACATCCATCACAGTAGCTCATTTTACACCTTCTACTGTTCAGCAGAACGTTACCCACTGGTCTACCTTTTTTTTTTTTTTGAGTCAATGTGAATACGAGAAAAATTAAAAATATGCTCATAACTGTGGACGTAAAATAATGAATAATATTCCAAGGTAATAATAATATATTTTCATAAATACTAAATAGAATATTGACAGGAACGAATGCGATGGAACACGTATATTATATATCTATACTACATGGGTACCTTTAAATTTGTTTGGGTCAATTCTAAACCATAAATCAGAAAAAAAAATTATTTTCCTTTCGATACTTATCAGATATACATATACTCGTACCTTATATTATATGTACACATATAAGAAAACTGTTTTCGGTCCTTTCTATTCCCGGGAGTCTCTAACCATATTAACCCATTTCTACAAAAATCCCAGTCGACAATAATATATACCTACCTATGTATATATTTATATGTTGCAGATGAACCCCTAAAATCTCACGTGAGATTATCTCTGAATGTAGTGCATATATTAAATAATGGTTTCCGCTCGAAAATCGGAGATTCTAATCGAAATTCTGTCGCACGTGTTATGTGCATACCTATAATATACTATGGAATGATTGACCGGTACATATTTCGGAAATAGTTTGTTGTTAGTAACTCATGTATAACGCATAAGCTGTTCATTTTAATACTTGATATGAAAATCAAAAGTCAATGCTATAGTATTATTATACTATACACGGGATATCTGAGTTGTAAATTTTTAATTTTATTTGAATATTTTACATTAAATTTACATAATTTATTGTATAATATATATTATTATATTCCACACCAACAACTTAACAAGATTATGGTAATTTAAAAATGCTTATGAACATTTTAAACAATAATAATACCTTTGATGTTCAAAATAATATAGTATACCTACTGTAAATACTTACCTATTAATTATTAAACATACGATTAGCATCCGTGTCCAATAATCAGTAGAGTAAGTATTTTAAATATAAATATTAATAATTATGCTGTTAAATTTTAATAATTTTAAAAATTATTTCTTTTAAATAAATTTAAGTCATTACAAAACAATAATAATTTTGAAAAAATAATATTTCAAGTTCATTTTCTGAATTAAAACGTTTTTTTTTTTACTTTTTGGAGAATTTATTATAAGTTATGTACATACTTTATACCACATATAATTTAGTATAAAAATTAATTTCAACTAGTTATAACTTATAAGTATTTAAAGTGTAGGTAAACAATGTGAAGTTTCACAAAGGAACCCTACAAAACGTTGATTCATTATGCTCTGTGCGTCTTAACTTAAATACTTAAATACTTATAATCTATAGATAATTAAATCAATAATACAAATTAAATATTTTTGAAAAATTCTCTTTTTTAATAACTTAAAATTATATAAAAAATAGTTACCATTAATATTTGTTTGTTTGAAAACAAATAAAATCATAAACATGTTTTTTGAACAACAAGGAAATAATACGTATATATTTCTTACGTTTTCATCATAGTCACGAATGATGTTATGAATCAAGTGATCAAGTGTAAAAGAAAAACCTAAACTTTCTGAAACATAAATTCAGATAGACTATCAGACAAGAGATTTAATTTTTATGCAAAAAAATATTTCCAAAAATGTCAATGCGTTTCGATAAAATTAGTGTTTACCTTTAAAAGAATCATGCTGTGTACAATATATTATTATGTAGGTACGTTATAAAATATCGATAAAAAAGAATCAAAATTTTCTTATACATTTTGCCTTTTTTTATCTCTAGACTCTAACTGTTGAAAATGTTAAAACTATAATAACAACCCCAACATAAGTATATATTTAAAATGGTGTAATAATGTATGAACGTATTTATAAGATAGTTTCGAAATTATATTAATTTTTTTTTTTATCGATTAAAATATATTACATTCATAGAGATTTAAATTTTGACAATTTATACATTTTTAAAACTCATAATAACCTTCATAAATCATCAAAATTAATTGGTTATTCCTTTTTAATTTTTATTCAGTTTATCTTACACATGTGTTTAATTAAATTAAATGACCTCTTAAAAATTTAACATCCGATCAAAAGCCGGCTTCATAAATCGGCTCATAAGTAGTTAAAATAAATATTTTTATAGTTGAAATATTTTATGGTAGTATTTTAGTATTGTAATAGTGTAATCCACTTAGAAACGAATAATTCTATAATACAGGTATTGAATAACTATTTTATATTCCAACAATTTTCTTATAGAATCAAATAATGATCGGTAAGAATAACAAACATTTTTTGTAAAGAGTTTATTTTTTATGTTATTTTATCAGCATTAATTTTCTACGTTGATAGTTGTTTTTGGTTTTTAAAATTGCTAAATAAATGGAAGAAATACGATTGAAAACAATCATTATCGTCGAAACATTTTTTAGGCCTTTTTGGAGATTATGACTGAGAATGCTTAATTTTTATAATTTCACGCAAAATTGCCAAATATATAGTACCTAGTCTGAAAATTCAAACTTTGATTTTAATCATAACCTATTGTTGTTTGAGATAACATCACTAAATCACTGAATCCATTAATAACGATAATCTATATAAATATAATTATAACGAATTGTTACAGCTATAATAATTGAAATATACTCATAACTAAGACTAGGGACTTAAACGAGTTTGCATAATTTTCAATAATTATTCAAAATATAGCTAAGTAATAAAGTAATATAGACATTTATTTCATAGTACTAGAAGTTTAAAGCAATCATTTTTATTTTGAGTACTTTGTATATCAGCTATTTTTTCCTTTTAAGTGTATATATTTTTTTATATTTTGTTAAAAAAAAAAAAAAAAAATGTAAGACAATATGAGACATAGAAATAAAATTATTTTTTAAGCATACTAAACAATGTTTAATATTAATCTTGAATATAAAGGTCAACAGTTTATTTATATTTATAATGAAAAGCATTTGTAGAACGACTTAATAAAATCTAAATTTTATGATCAATTGCACAATTTTTTTGATTTACTGAACATTTTACTATGCATCAAATCACTTTTTACAAATACATTATTATCAAAATAGATGTTATATTCATTTGTTGTTTTTTTTTTTTTTTGGGAAAATAAAGCAAAAATAATTTATATTAACATGTGAAACTAGCTAAATAATTTGCGCCTAACAACCGTTTTTAAAGTCTTATAAATGAAATACTTACATTTAAATTTTCAAATCAGCGCACATGAATTTACACGTGAAATATGTATCGATATAGTGATATTTCGGTACTGTTTTTGTTTAGGTCAGGCTTAGTGACGTAAAATAAGATACTATATTAAATAAATGTCAATATTTTTTATTTTTTTTTAGATTAATGAAGACAACATTTTGAAAATGCATATTAAGTCACAACTATATCAAAATATAAAATATGTGAATGCCACTTATACATGACAATGTTGCACAGGATTGCTTTCTCAATAGTACTGTTTTTTTTTTAGTTGGTGGTAATTTCATCGTTCTATTTTGAGCGTGTTCAATCGTACTCCAAAAAAGGTAAAAGTTCTGAATCGTATTGTAAGTTGTAATCAAAGGTTTGTTACAACAATAAAAAATGACTTATGTCTGTTTTCTCTTAAATTAAAATATTCATATTTTGGTGGGCATAAATTTATACGATTAATCGAGTTTCAAAAATCGTACTGTATATCATGATGCTATACAATTATATTATTACTAGGCTTGAAAGGATGGAACTAAAATTATTATACAATGTGATTTACCAAGCACGTTCACCCCGTTTATTACTTTAATAACGAATTTATTAAAATACTAATTTTTGAAATTTTTAAGTAAAAGTATTTAAGCTTTAACAAACATAATTTAAAATGTCTTAAAGTATCTTGTAGATGTTTATTTTCTGAATAAATTGAAGTTCAATTTAGTAATTTTTGAGTAATTTAATGTATACTACAGATACATTATACAGAGGCCTATTATAATTGACTTGAAACATATTAAGATAAGTTAAAATGATTTAAAAATGTTAATAATTAATATTAATCAATAATCAATATATTTTTATAATTAAAAAAAAAATTTCATCGTATAATAAGTGCTAAATGCAATACTACATACATTGTTTTTTTTTTTTTTTTTTTTTTTAATGTACATTTTAATAATTTATTGACTACTGGTTTGAATTTTAAATTGAATACATTAACATTTTCAAAAACAGAAAAATAATAATTTGCTTAATGATTTTCAATAAAAAAGAGTTTGATTTTTAATCATCGCAGAATACTTCTTAAGTGTTATAAAAAAAATCTAAAATCATCAATGAATGGTTCTCCAGTAAACTTTAAAAATTTAAAAATTAGAATTTAAATGTATTTATTATCAAAGAAAAATATGCGTAAAGCATGCTTGATAAATCACGCATTATTGAATCTAAAAAATGTTGATGTATTATATTAAAAAATTCTTGGTACGTGTAAATAATTTAAAATTTAAAAAGCAAATACGAATGAACTAGACTTACTAGACTTTTTATTTGAATACTCATTCGAATAATAACTAGAATACGAAATGTGAATCTTTTATGATCTTATGATTCTACGATTCTTAACCGTTTGTTCGAAACTCGAGATTTAAGGACATAATATAGTTAATAAGTATTATAGCATATTTGACGTATTGGTGTATTATACTAAGAATATAATGAATTGAAACTTTTGACAGAAGAAAATGACTATTAGTTATCTTTTCTGTGTGATTTCCTAGTAAAATGTATAATAATTACGTATACGTATAATATATGATATTTTAAGAGTTACTGAAATGTTACGCAAACATATAATAAATTATGTAATAAGAAAACGTGGATTCAAAAATTATTATTCGAACCGACAAACACTTTAATATAGTTGTTTCAAACTCGTTTATAGTTGACTGTAGATTGGTTTATGAAAGAACATGTTTAATGTTTATGTTTAGAAAATTTAGTTAAAAGTATTGATTAAACTTAATAATATAAAAAATAGAATAATACTCCTGTTGAATATGTGACAGTGCTCAGAGCGCTAAAATATAATAATATCACATAATAATGATAATAATAAAATAATAATTGAAAACTGGCCAATAAAATATTACCTATAATATAAATATGATAAAAACGCGCATTACAGTATATATTTGTACTTCCATACTTTTTACTCGTGTGCATAAAATGGTATCTCCAAACAAATAAAATAAATGTTATTTTAAATGTTTATTTTATAAACGTGAAATTCGCATGTAATATAGTAATAATTTCCTACGTTTGAAGTGTACTAAATGTTACATGAGTATTTTTTTGAAAAAATTTCAATTCCACATTTTAGTACATATACACGTTTTTTGATTTATCCATATCAATCAACACCATATATTATGATTTATTTAAATTATGTTCATTAAAAACTTAAAAATTATGGAAACCCTAATGACTTAATACCTATTATATTATTATAGGCATTATAGTAGATACGTACTGCGTATTGTATGATTTAATTTTTATAAAAAAGTTATTGAAAATTGTTCTCCATCACTCAGTGTATTCTCTATCACATTATATTATAATATAATATTTTGATCTGATTTTTCAAAAGTAAATATTTTTATCGACGAATAACAATTTATATTAAATTATATAGGTATAGGAGTTGTTGTTAAAGTTAATTTTCTCTAAAGTTTGGACTAAAATAGGAGTGGCCTAAGTTTAAGTGATAGTTTCACCGCAGAAAGTATATTAAAATATGGAAATGTCTTATAGAAACTAAATTCTTAACTATACGAGTATGTAAGTAGCACAGATTTTATTTGTCTTTGTCTAGTTTTTAGAGGGGTTATAGGTACGAATAGTAGAAAATATCGATTAATGTTTTAGACCTTGATAATATAGTTTTTGGAAATAATTTTTTATTAGACATTTTTTAAAGTAATTTCACTGAATGCAGGTAAAAAAAATTAATAAAAAAATATCCAGAGAACAATTTTATTATTATTATTATTATTATTCATTTTTTTATATACTGATTACAGCGGGTTCTTCAACTATATACATTATGAATGATATTCAGTATTTTATTATAATAATTATTATTTTCTTTAATTAAATTAATATTTTGTTATCTAGATGAACGAAAAATATAAAAACTCATTCTTCATTGATAGATAACATTCGTTTACACAAATAACCGCAAGATTGACATGTTATAGACTTATGTTCAACTAGCGATATCTATCCAGTATCCACTCTACTATATTTTGTTTTTGAGGATCCAAAATCTGATATAATAATATTATATTATATATTATTAAACGATACGTACTATGCTAACCGCAATAAAAATAATAAATGGGTATAATATTATATTTTTTTTATTTAAACTCCGTTATAATGATAATAATAAAAAAAGTTATTATTATTATTCAATATGCAGAAATAGTTTCGACGAAGCGGGTCCCCCTAAAAACCCACGTATTCCTACTCACCGGCTTCTCTAACTAACGCGTTTTTGAATAATTTAATTGTTATTATTATTAATACTGTCGTCCACGTTAAAATGTACCAACAAGTGCCAAGTTAACATAAACATACAATAATACAAAATAGTATATAGCTATGGTGTCTACCTTATAATTATCTAACCTCCATGACGTGAATCGGTATTGCATTTTGGACGACAAATTGCCCACATCGCTTTTAATATTATAATAACATATTGTTTCTTTCCAATCATTTACATTTTTCCGTTACTAGAGACGTTTAATCCATGTAACTGCTGGCTTTGACTGTACGTGGAATTTAACCATTTTTTGCGTAAACTTTGTCCGAACTTCAAACAATGAAGAGCTCCGCTGCCGTTGTGTTTGCGTTTTCCTACAGTTCACTGTTGCAAGTAATGCAAGTTTGTTCTTCTATGCTTTCGGACAGCGTTTATCAGGTAAGATTTACAACGTTTATATACGAAAAAAAAATCGATTTTCATCCACACCATTCATCCACCCCACCATTTTATAAGTTTAAACCGAAGTGATTAAAAAGGTATCCTTTTCGACTTTTCTATAAACACTGTACATGGACTAAGATATTATATCTCTGTCTGCAATATATACTTACAATTTGGTACTGTATGTCTATTTTTTATGAGATTTTATCTAAGAATTCTATAAATATTTTCCCGAGTATCTTCAAGTATATTCATGTAAGTATGACGAGATATTTAAATGAAATTTTTCAACAGTATTGATCTAAATTGAAATACCATTAAAAATTCTTCCACTATAATTATTTTCATGGAATATCATAAAAACGTCTACGTTGCAAACTGAGATTGATTTAGATAAATATGAGATCAATTTTAATTGTTTGAAATCATTACAATATTATTTTAATAAAAAAAATATCTATTTCTAATAATTTGGTTAATTTTTATTTATTTTAATTATTTTGTATTTTTATTTATTTGAAAAATAAAGTCCAAAAATAACTATAAAAAATTAAATTAAACAAATTTCGACATTCAGTTTGAACTTTTCACTGATTATTGTTAAAAATTTATAATAATTATATGTACATATACATTTCCTAATAGATAGTTAAATGATACTAGATATTTTTAATATTACGGATGATGTGATCGAGATTAGTCATTTAAGCCGTTGTATTATAATATAGTATATACATATATAATATATATACATATTATTTTAAAAGTATTTAAACCTTTATTTATTGAATTGTAGTTACCAATTTACCAGTTTACAATAAACACATTTACAATGTTATTTTTTAGTGTATTTACCCATTTTTTTCCAACACTCATGAATCTAATATTTGACGTATGTTTACACATTTAATATACAACCATTCCACCTATAATATAAATCATTTTATCATTATAATTATTTAATTCTTATTAATAAGCATTACGGCTTGAATATTACAAAAGTATATATTGTAAAAAGTTTATTTAGCAAGGTATTTATTTTTTTTAAATTTATATTATCACAGTGTGTTACAACTTTTTATGCCCTATATTAAAATTAATATCAATAACACATTTATTTATATATAAGTATTATAATGAAGGCAAAATATCGCTTATATAGACTTTTGAATTATTAATTAAAACCGTTTTAATAATATTTCTAACATTACAAACATTGTAGAGAAAACAAAATTAATAAGTTGGTTTACAAAATTATTACCTAATATACTCGTATTATTAATATTAGGCTAGGTATGTAAGTTAATAAAAAGCAACTCATGAATTTTAATTTAATTGAGTTTCAAGCAAAAATATAATACTTGAGTTATATAGACATGATATAGTCAGTCATCACAAAGCTAGTAAACATACTTGTATAATATTACGTATTTAAACGTTTCGTATATTATAATACGAGTATATTACCTCTTCTCCGGTGACTCGTGTAAAGTATTTTACAACCATTAAATTATCTTAAATTTTTAAAATATTTTAAATTTTCTAAAAATATAATATTCTATGTTTAATATGATATAAATAATAATTATTGAGATCTAGAACCGCTGAAAAAAGTATAACTCTTAAAGTTGTTTGATTTAAAAAAAAAAGTTTTCACATTCGTTTGTCTACCAAAACTTTAGAACGAAATAATATAATATAGTATAATATAATGTAATATGCTTGTTTTTTTGTAAAATGATATATTTTCCATACCAAGTGATATGAAGGGAACTGTATTTGGTTAATAAAATGTGTATTTATGTATGTTATACAATGATTCGCCGATCATATTCAATTTCATTTTTTTTTTTTAATCTTAAAACTAAATTATACAAAATCTAATAAAATGGAAACTAATTATACTAAATGGCTATAATATTTTCAATAATTTAAATTTTTTTTATCATATAATAAGTTTTATGTGATCATACAAACTTTTTTAATTTCAAACTTACGTCTTTTCTAACTATAAATTGCAAAGCAGAAAATAATTGACCTATCTAAAATAAATTTGAACGAATAATTAATGAGTTAATTAAATGTACCTATATAATGCTCATTTTTGTACAAATATATCGTTTAATTTTTAATAAAGAAAATTAAACTTGCCATTGACGTTAATGATCAGGTAATGTACCTATACAATATCAATATTTCCCAATCTTTATAGATATGCATATCTCGTCATCTCATATATTGACGTTTATTTGACCGTATTATGTTATGTAAAAAATAGGCTCGCGAACATATACAACATATACTGCAAAATGCATGGTTTAATTTTTTTCCTAGTTTAATCACAAAATCAAATTGTTTTAACCACTAATTTGACTACATACTTATTATTTTATTATATCCCTTTTAACTTTGATGACTATTTCACCCTAAATCGATAAATAGTATACATATAAATAAGCTTGAAGGAGCCAACGAGTCTGATCTTTGATCAATAAATAATAACTCTATTCTGTTCTCGTCCTGCAATTATAAATTAAACTCTTATACTATAGAGTGTAGACTCGTTCGTCTCATTCGTTGGATTTTCTATTATTACCCATTTCAAACATATTACGCGTGATTATGTAACGGAGCAAAAATAATAGAGAATATCGTATTATTATTATTATTATTATTATACCTCGTTTTACACCCCAGATAAATTCCCATACCGGAAGTTATGTTTTTACGTTCTATTGATAATTCGATTTTACGTTAGATGAGTATATTATCAAATTAAAATTAGAGTCAAAATAATTACCTCTCAGTAATGCTTCAATTAAAAATTATATAATAGAATACACATATCGTATGGTGCATATGAGACGCAATAGGTTTATCACGGTCGTTATTGTTATTCTCAGGAGTATAATTCAATAATGATTCCTATATATATATACTAAGTAACAGACAACCAACTAAACAATGTTTATGTGAAGCCAGTGGTATAAAGGATTAGGCCACAAATCCACCACCTATGTCATGACATATCGTCATCAAGATTTACTGACCTGGTGAGAGAGAAGATTTTTTAAAAATTCCCTATTTTTGGTCAATTAAAGTTAGTTAATTCATTTAAATAAAACCCTACACCCACCTACCAAAAAAAAAAAAAAAAAATAAAAAATAAGCCATGATTTGTGGTAATGAAACCGTCAAACAAGATTTTGTAAAAATAATCGATTTTTTTTTTGTTCACAAACCACGTTTGAATTATATGATTTTAATCTACACACGAAATCAATCCGCTATTTGTCAGATTGTGGAGCACTCATAAATTATAACCACGGATTTAATTTTAGTCAGCACCTCCATACCTAAAAAAAATTTTTCGATACTCTTCGCAGTTGTTCATCTATTTATTGGTCGTGATTCATTATGGTGCTAATATAATTCAAAAAGTTACCGCCAATGCCCAATACAGGTTATGCAGTGTGACAAAGTACGTTCATTTCGTTAAATACTTACGCTTAATTTATGAAAAAAAAGTTTTCATCGACACAAAATTGTATACCTAGCGTATTTATATGCTGTAAAAAATCTAAATATTTTTTCTTTGAATATTGAGTGTAATTATTTCTATTTAATAATTATTAACTAATGAACGCACAAGTTTAGCTTAAAAACAAGATGAAATTAAATAAATAAAACTACCCTGTATACTTACTTTTTTAATCATTCTTTTCTGACTAAGACCTAAGAAAAGGTTTCAGATAAAACATATATAATATATGTCGGAACGAATAAAATGAGTTTTATATAAAATATAAATAATGCGTTCCCGGGCGAGTATAATAAATAAATCCATTACAATTTATGTTCGGTTCGCGCGATGCAGTAGAAAAATATTGTATAAAACGTTTTCATAAAATGATATTTTGATGAAATGAACTGTAAAAATAAAAATTAACGCTGCTTCAACTACACTGCGAATAAAATATATGCATGCGTATATATATATAGTAATGAATAAAACTGTTTTAAACAGCCATTATTATTGTTATTATTGCGTAACGTTTTCATGGATTGCAATAATATTAATATTATCTAATAAGGTTTATAAAAATAAAAATAAAACTTTTCTAACTATATTATTATTGTAACAATGGTATGCGGCAAATAGATAAAATGACTGAACAATAAATTATGTATCAAGCGTCTTCAATGCTGACTTAACAGTTTTATCTTTACACTCGTAAGTGTCTTTGCTCGCTTTCACGAGAAAACTAAGTAAATAAGTAATATAATATTGGTATAACTTACGGTGTACATATAATTATCTATTGCGCCAATTCTTAAATATTTTTGACCAGTAGTCAGAAACCGTCATTGAGTATGGTATCTCAAGTTGTTAACCGTGATCATTAAAATTAAACTATATGCAAGTTATAATCAATTTTATTTTTAGAAATAAAAAATAATATAAATCATAGTATATAATAAAGTTTTATTCATAGATATATAATACAACTAGATAATCGACTCATATATGTTTGGGGCAAGTGAAAATGTTCATCAATATCATTAAGACGTGTATTAATTACATCTTCAAATAATACATAACCTAATTTAAAATAACTTATTTTACATTTGATATATAATGATAACATACACATGACATGCTGCAGCCTGCAATCACTTGGGTTTTTTGATTATTAGATACATTTGGTTCACTAGAGATCAAATTTGAATTCAATAAACTAAAGCCTTGATTAAGAGTAATACTTTTACTTGATTATTAAAATGGAATAATAAAATGATTGCCAACTCTTGTAGGAGAATCGGATTTTTCTAAAAATTGTATTTTATTTTAATGTTTTAACTTATTTTTTTAAATGTATATAATATAATAGGTATTTATCATTATACTATAATTAATAATCAGTATCGTTATCGTGGTTTTCTTTTTTTCCCGTTTTCCTCGTCCAAAATTTCTTTCAAACTCTGATAAAAACATTCCTTTTTTATTCTATACTTCTTTTTATCAAAATATCTATTTATATTTCAAAATCATAATAATGATAAATATAAAATATTAAACAATTAGGTTTCTATGTATAAACCAAACTCACACAAAACATACAATAACTTATACCAATTATATTTACTGGAAAAGATAACCAGTTCATGCCTGGTTCATCTGCTTTAATTAGCATTAAATCTATTAAGCTATACATATGTTAAAGTTTCCATACACTACAGTGGTGGCACTAAAACTCTGTTACCTTTTTGTGGTACTGTGGTGATGATAAATTATATCAGACTTCGTTTATTTCCACAGATACTAGGTACTGCAATATGTGGGGATCTTTACTCGTCTGATTTAAAATAGGTAAAGCTATTATTACGATTATTAATTACCTATTTTATTACTGGATCCATTAAAATGTTGCTTTTTGAGTACTGATGAACAAAATTAATAATACCTACTGTTTCAAGTACTGTTATGTGGCACAAACGCGAAGCTGACGGATAGTCAACAATAAATTAAATACCAAATAAATAAATTGCGATTTGCACCACGGTACGATGTACAAATTATAGGTACGAAATATATACAGTTATAAAATAAAAATTAGGATAGCGAACAACAATTAAAATTAACGAAACTATACGATATTACTTACGTCATGATACGGTAAAAACATATAAGTATGGTGATCAGTAAGTTCCTATATAGTTTGAGTCCGGAATCGTGAAGTTTATAAAACTGATGTATAACAGTATCAATATTAACAATACGATTCTGAAACGATTGAAACGTAACTACGCGTCTACGCAAGTAACCAATAATAACATAAAATTATTATTACTGTTATTATTCTAAATACGTAAGCAAAAATGCGATCCTTAAATGTCTATAACCTAACATATTCCTCAATATACAATATTTACTTCAAATTAATCAAAAAAATATAGTAAAAAGCTATTACTTTTTAGTGGTGCACAAGTCCCCTGAGCAACCCTTTAGTTCCGCTAATGCATATATTGTTATATTGCAACATGCTCCTTCTAACTCAAATTCGATTGTTTTTTTATTAGAGTTTTCTACTCGTAAATTATGTATACACAGTCGACTCGCTGCAAAGTCTTCGATGTAAAATTAATAAGACATACAAAAATGTAAAAGCCAGCTAAAGCGAGTTATATTTTTAAAAGATTGTTTCGACTTTTATAGTTTAGAACATTTTATTTTATTTCATGATTTCACTTACATACACACGTGGGGCTTGATGATATTATTATTATTTTGTTATTGTACTATAATTTCGATATGTAACAGCTTATAACAGCAAAGCGAATTTTAATTTTTCATAAACCTTATTATTTCTAAAATAATAAAACATTTCTTTTTGTTCTGAGAAAAATGTGATTTTTTTTATTTAATTGCCATGTTTTAATTATATTATATTATAATGTCCTACTATTTTTTTTTTTTTTTACTTATGTAAATAAGAACATGATTTATATAAACAATAATAATGTTATACATTTTACGATAATTATTGATATAATATAATAATTATTGATTTGTTTATATTTATTTTAAAAAAACAATAAATTATTAATTTAACAAAAGAAATAAACAGTAATTCTTTTTTTTTTTTTGCTAAAGCTTTGAGGTAAACCTTGGAAAATAGGACACAAATTCTAATAATAAGTTATTTTAAAAATTTCATAAAGTTCCATTTATAAGGGCCTAAAAAAAAAATTGCTTTTTTGACGTAAAATATTTATAAGAAAAAAATTTAAGTTAGTCTTTTTTTACAGAGTTACTTACAAAAATTCCAAAAATTGTTTAAGTTGATAATTTCTAATTTGAAATTAAATTTTGAGATTGCGGTGATGGTAAATTTAAAGAACGATGATTTATTTGAGTTACCATCTGAATCATTGATAATTCATAATATATTATATAAATTGAGAGAGGTGGAAATAATTGGAAAAATCTAAGGCTACAATACAATGATTATGAAAAATGTTTTGAATGTTTTTGATCTAGCTATAATTATTATTATATTCGTTTAAGTCCTAGGCTTTATATGACTATACTAGCACTAATGAAAAAGTGACAATTCGTACACTACGCTCGTGGAATACTAACAAGTTTATATATTTTATGTTTGTTTTTGTTTTTGTTTTCACACACGCAGGGCTTACACGATGCGATGACAATAGATGAGCTGAACTATTACTTCGGAGTGTCCAATCCGGCGGATGCACCTGAGTACGAGGTAGTCACGTTGTCCGATCCCGCGGACCAACCGGATTGCACGTTTTTTGCTTTTGGCAGGTATATATATTATTATTACGTCCGGCGATTTTATTTTTTTTTAACAATAAACATAATGTAATGACCAATCAATATTTCATCAGACTTATCCACGGAAAAGTAAACATTTTTATAATTCAATCTTGCTTTACAAATTTAATATAATACGCGAAAATGATTTTTCAATATTTATTTTTTCTAAACAAAAAATAAATTATGAAGTGGCTGAATTCAAAACTATAGGTGCTAAATACATTCTAGGACCACAACCTTAATGGTTCCTACGCGAAAGGACCCTAGGTTCGCACAAATATCAGGAAATGAATTATAATGAATAAAAATCATAAGAACGGAAAATTTCTCTACAAAGTATACATAATAATAATAATATGTACTTACCGTGTTTAAATGATGTGCGTACGTGTGTTGTTGCATCGTCGAGCGTTGTGCAGCATACGAGGGAAAAACGTCGGAGACGGATTCAAAGTACTGGAACTAATGATTAAGTACGTTATATTACGTAGAGATACGTGTGTACATCAAAGAGTGATTTATTTTATTCAGCAACCAGCTCTTTTTCTCAGACGATTTCTTTCACCTCTTAAAAATACATTTTACGCAATTCGTATTCTACTATATTCACCCCATCGTATATAATATTATAAAATGCTATGTATTTTGCTATTATTGAACAGCATTAACACAAGTTTTTAATCGCGTTTCTAAAACCAAAAGTAGGTGTATAAACTTAATTGCCAAAAAACAAAATAATAATACTTAGTATCATACATAGGTATGATATAATTGTATCTCTTATTTGCTGAATCTACTGTTTATTTCGATCGTCTATAGCTCCAAACGTTTCTACGAATAAGACATAATTTATCGAATCGATGTAAACCATTTTCATAAATATTTTCTGCGTCTTATAGAAATGCATAGATTGTTGTTAAAAAGTATTCAGTATTTTGTTGAACATATTATTATTGCTGACGAAAGAGATAAAATATTAGATTCGTTTAGTAAAACTTTCCTGTATGGGTGCTGTATCAGGGCACTTAATTTAGCTTGAAAATGATTTTATTCGAAAGTGTTGAAAACTGAAAATCATTCTGTATATGACAACGTCACTATATATGAGCATTCGCAAACGCAGTCTGCGGTTCTTTAATCGATGACATTTTTTTTTTTTTTTGCTTAAACCGCAGAAATATAAAGATAGAGAGAAAGAGGTACAACAATGATATTTCTATACCAAACTCCTAACTCAAGTTTACCATGGATACATTCGTGCGATATGTTTTGCTACCGTTTGCGGTAACTTTTTTCACGTAAGACTCGTTTAATTAATCAATTCTTAATTATTTTTTATTTTTTTTTAAATTTAATAATATTAATATTATGAATTATGACAAAAAAACATTAAACCCTTTCCGTAACATTTTATATACTTATACTGTTTTGTAAGTACTGTATGCGTTTCATGTACGATATGTTTTGTTGCATGGGTTTTATATTTTAAATTGCGATTTTTATCGAACATATTTTTTATCAATTATCATAAAAAAAATAAAAATAAATGTTTTTTTTTTTTTTTTGAAATTTCCTTTTATACATAAATACATTCAATATCGAACCAATGTACTATTAAATAAATCTTATTTATGCCTTCATCAGGAGTGGCAGTGACAGCCACCATAATAGCGTATAACCCCCAAGTCAACAATATGCAACTCTATTCTTCAAAACTTGACGCATTTATATTTTATTGAATACACTATTTTATATTCGTTTAGAATATTTAAACTCAGAAGTAACATTAGACATCATTTCCCAAAGTCTTGAGAAAAATTCGATTTTCTTTCTTGTTAATACATATTATATTATGCTGTAATCAATAACAAATTTCAAATCAGGGTATAATTAAAAATCAAATCAGTTTTTTTTTATCAAATTGTACTATAATAAATCGTTTTATACCGAGTAAACACGACTGCAGAGCGCGTTCGATATTAGAGATAGCGAATACCCTGAAATACGATCACTTAATTTTTTTTTGATATTTTAAATATAACCGCAACCAATTTTTTAGTTTTTTAATATTCATTTATAAGAAGACCAACTATAAAATAGTGTTACGGATTGAAAAAATATTAACAGCGATGCGGTGAGGATAAAGTACCCATTTCAGAGGTATCAGTGTATGAAATTGACCCATTTCGATGTATATATTTAAATATATATATATTTATAAGAGGAAAAACATTTATATTTATTCATCGTAGATTTTTATTCCGCCCTCCCGAAATTGGACAAGGGGTCCAGTTTTATGGCTAGCCCGTCATAAATAGATAGGGTTTTTACTCCCGAATATGCGACGGAATACCCAAGATTAAAAAACATCAATATCATCCCTTCGATCTATATAATATATTATGTTTGTGTGTATTTATATAGGTTTGATGTCGTAGGCGTACTACCTATAATAATAATAATGATGTAAATATTTTAAATGCTGATTTAGATATTATAAGTTTAGCAAAAAGTGGGTACCTACTATAATGATTTTTCCTTTGGAACGTTATCGTCTTCGTCACTCAAGTCTGTGATCGTTTAACATTTTTCGCTGTCAAATTATATAATTTGGTCGAGCAGTACGCATTATTCTCGACGTATTCTTTTTAATGATAATAATTAGTATTTAATATTTGTTTTTTTAATTTTTTACACATTTCATCATTATGTCTATACCAGTCGTCGTAAGCGTATTAAATCGTCGTCTCGTGTGCCTCATTATTATTACACTATCTTAATGTATCCACTTTTATATTGAACCAATGTTTACAACATAAATAAATTCTTTTGTATATATATCAATATATACATACTCCTTGTTACTGAGACTTGTATATATATATATATTGGCCTCATTCGCCTATCTAAACATTTCCATCTTAGTCACGATCTTTTTTTATTTTACTCTTTCTTTGCCTTGCCACCCGTAAAACCGCGAATCGTCGTACTTACATACATATATGTATAAGTTTGAGTCACTTTGATCGCGTTCTGTATAATAAAACTTTTTTTTTTTTTATCTCGAGAGGAGATTTTTCGAGTCCGTCTTGAGAAATATTCTCTTTTTCTTTTATACTCAATTTGACCATTTGAGAGTGGCTTTCTGCGGCAGTACACTTTGTCCCGCGACGTTTTTAAATCCACTACGGTACGATTCCGCCGCCGCGGTAATATATCGTTTGAGTAAATACTAACTAAACATCGACAAACAGATATTGAAAAGAACGAAACATCTTATCTTTCTCTCTCTCTCTCTCTCTCTCTCTCTCTCTCAGATATACACACAGATTGCAAACCTACCATATAAATTATACATTATTAAACCTACCTATACGCCAATTAACGAAATAAGAATTTAACATTTGCAATAATCTATGAAAACAATGATATTCTCCTTGCTTGAGTCTGAAGAACATCACTATTTTATTAGCTGCTTTCTCAAGTTATTCAACTAATAAAAATAGGTAGCACTGTTTTATTAAAATTTCTCGATTTTACGTGCACCATAAAACTTTAAATTTGTGTATGTAAGGAAAATGTTGTTAACACAATATTTTTAATACTATGGTGCATACAACAGCCTTCCAAATATATGGATATACTTTTCCTGTTCATACTATACCTTCAAAATATAGTTATAACTTATAACTCAGTTTCATTGATTGATATAACGGTATCAAACAATGAGAAATTTATATATTATTGAAAACATTATTTTGTTTTTGTATCAAATTTAACTGCAACGGCCTATGCATTTTCTTATGGCTAGTATATTTTTGAAAAATTTGTTTGAATAACTAAAAATAATTGTAATATTTTATTTTATTTTTTTTATCTAATTAACATAAAATATGATAAAAATTGTGTATTTCGCCTATTTTATCTATTGTGCACATATTATACATGTAGATCGGTGAAGTTGTTCTTGGAACCCAACGACCGTTTGATCGGTGAAAATTTCGTGTGGAAAATACGAGATGACTCGGAGTTGGTAACATACGAAGAAAAATCGCCGAGACGATGTCATTATATGCACCGAATAAGTCGCATTGGCGACGGGGATGTAACTGCAGCGTTTACTTACTGTCCAGGTAGCTCCAAAGTAAGTACCGTGTGCGAACACTATTTATGACCTGCAAAGTAATTATAAAAAAATTCTATAATAATTTAAAAATCGTTAATATATATTAATAAATCGTACTAATTCAATTATAATTTATAGAATGGTATTGTGTTCCTACCGGACGTCACATATGAATTGCAGTCCATAAGTACTGGGCTGTGTCGATATCGTTGCGACGACGATAGTAAGAATGCGTTCATTTTAAAACGAGCGCCGACGATCAATCACACGTGGACCGACGGATTTGGTGAGTACACCATCTATCGATACAATTAGTAACAACGGAGTATTATCTTCCATAGTCCCCTTTGTTTTCTTCTTAATAAACATCGTATTGTATATGTAAAAATATTTTTTTCTTAGAAAAGATTTAAAAATATAAAAAACCTTGTTCGTATTTATAAAAAATGTATTTATTTCATTATAATGCATATTATTAGCTGTCATATACAAATTTAATATACATATATTGATATTATATTTAGTATAGAATACCTATTATACACAAAACAAGAATAGATCTAATTTTCGATTTCACCAGTACTCATTAAGTACCTCGTGTCTATACTTGTTTAGCCTTGTTCGTTGATTAAAGTTTAAGTATTTTTTTAGTTTGAATCACATAGAACCCAAATTTACCCGTGAAAAAAAACACAGCACTGCATAGACTTATCACAGTTGTATTGAACTTCAGTTAACGGGTAAAACGGGTAAATCGGGTGTATCTTGCTCTGTGAACTAATACGAACAAGATGGGAAATTCACCTGTCATTGGTATTGTTAAAAGCACTTAGTATATTTTTTAACATCGTTCATACACCATTTTCTGCAATTTTCTGGTATTTCTAAGAACAATTTGAAATTTTCATCAAAATTTTCAAGTAATTTTTAAATTAATTTATTATTTTTATACATATACATTATACACAGATAATTATATTTGTAAATATATCAAAAATTTAAGATATTTAGAAAAGTTTTTAAGATTTGTACTGTGTACCTTGCTCACCCCGTACAGCGCATGCCTATAACACGATGAAAGTAAAAGCGTAATAGTTGCGAGTATCAATATTATATGACAATTATCTACAAAACTATACAAAAATAATCGTGAAACAGAATTTTACAGAATTAATAGGCTTGAGTCTAACTTATTGTTTTTTTCATTATCAATTTCTTAAATTTCTTAAATCCAATAATTCAAAATTTATATTCATGGATCGTTTAAAAAAATATAACCAAGTATCAGACAATTTATCACTTGTGTACGTGTTTATATTTTAGCAAACGTTAAAAATATATTATTACTTATAATTGATCAGATTAAGTTAAATGTGAAGTATAAAATATGTATAAGTCTTAACGATCTATAACACGGGGGGTGGCAATAAATTAATATAGTGTTAATATCGTACAGCTGTAGTAAAGAGGTTCGTAAATTTGGGAGCACACAAACAAATAAGATGGGACTTAGCCTACTGCACATATTTTTGGCAACTTTTTGAATATAAAAATCGAATCGATGTTAAGTTTTCGACATATGTATATATCATACACAATACACATATAGTGCGTAGTGGAAAACTTTTTAATATTTATATAGCATGTAATGTTCACGAATTACGTTAAAAAAACATATTTCATGCGTAACTATTCTGAAATGTATCTAAATACATACGCTAAACGAAATATAAAAGTAATTTTAACGTCATCAAAACTATAACGGAATAAAATTGTCGTAACCATACTTTTACTGGAATTTTAGCCTGAGAAATATTATTATGTCGATTTTAAATAATTTATAAGTATAATATATCGGGCATCAATATATAAATACGTACATCGTGCGAAATAATCATTATAATAATCTAAATTTATTGTATTGTATTTTTTATTTCCAAAAGTTTCTAAAACATGCATGTATGTGATTATACGTGTTTCTCTTCAATAAATATTTTAATTAAATTTTAGGGGGCGAGATTGTTATGTTGTATACCTACGCAAATTATAGAAGTTCCAAGTACCTACAGTTTTCTTAGAATCTTACATGCACTCATAAACGACTCAAATTCAAATTCGAGGCGTGCAAAAACTATATAGAGAATATTATATTATTACCCGACTGGGTGAATATAACAATTATAATACCTTTATTCTGCGTAAGTGCGTTGTAATACTACAGTTTATCACCTGCAAAAACAAAACACAATTGCTCACTCACCGAAAAGTATAGTGAATTTAAAATTTTACTTGCCGATATTTGTTATTTAATTTTATTTTTAATAACAATATACTGGCATAAATTATTGTACCTCAACTGTTATGTACTCGTAATTAATAGCTAAACAGAAAGAATGAAAGGAAAAGATAACACGTAAAGTTTATAAGTTTTTAAATTTTGAAACCAATATAGAGAATTAAATTAATGAGGTAGAGAGTATGACAGTTAAACTTGTGAATTTAATACTGTTCGATTAGCATTCAACTGCAACCGTGAATTACACCGAACAATTTTATAATAAACTAAAATTATGTGAAAAGTTAACGTTCAAAGACTATAATCCAATAGCGTCCATACTTTGCAGCTAGCATCCAAGTCGTGACAATATAAGTTTTTATATGTTTCTAATATACCTACCTACCTATATGTTATATTATTATATTATTATATTATGGCTGCAGCTTACATAAACCTACAGCAGCGGGGCGTGATAGGACTGCTTAAGACACGAAACGTTCATGAAAACAAAAAATAAATAAACAAGAAAAAAGAAAAAAAAAAACTTTAAGTTCTATAATTCACGTTCTACTTTCGGCGCTGACGACGTTTAGGACTTTAATACAATATATTCCTCTTGACGAATTGTATTTATTTATTTTTTCTCTCGTCTGTAGATGTATTGCAAAGGCCCGGCGAAAACTATGCTTTCATGTCACCAGACCTTTTTGTGAGTATAAAAATTAGTGAGGTTTTTTTTTTTTTTTGTCGTTGTATTGTCATCGTGTTTTCTCTTTTTCGGTCCGTCCGCTCGCGTTTAACTCCGCCCAGGATTTTAATTAAATATTTTTCCGTGTAGGTAGATGACACAAAATACGACGAGGATGGAACGGCGGCAGCGGTGGCAACAACAACGGCGATACCCGTATTGGAGACAGCGCTCTATTTTGATGAACCTGCGTATAAAACATTTTCGGAGTATTTTAAACACGATGACGAACACCTTGTCGATATGATTCTTGCCTACGTCAATGCTGTGAGTATATATATATATATATATTTTATTTTAACATCATTAACGACATGGACATACGATGATGATATTATATGGTATCATTAGTAGATGATACCGATAAATTTCAATAATTATAATTGACATATTAGTCCAAACCTTGATTTTTAATAACAAACATATTTATTTATTCACTTCTTGTATGTTATAACAGGTTGATCAAATTAATTAACCTCATAATCGTTTATATTAATATAATAACTCATAAAAAGTTAAAATCAATACCGAAAATTATCAATTATGACCAGAGCTTCTTCAAAAAAGTTTTATTGGTTACATTTTTGTTTCAACTTTTTTTTTAAATCAAAAAATTAGGTTTTGTGTTAAACCATTGAAATTTTTATTTTATTTTACTAAATAAATTTTATTTTTAGGGTTTTGGTTATAAAAAACAATGTTAAGTACACATAATTTCTATTGAAGTTTCATACATCAATACATATTGTTTTAATATTTACTAGTAACTGTTATTAATTTAACATAGGAGATTTTATGTAACCATAAAATATTTAAATTTGTCAAAATACTGATATTTAATTAACGTTTTATAATCGATTTATTAAATAAAAAAATATATTATATTAATAAACATGATATATTTTCCTTATTGTAATATTTTTTTTTTTTTTTTTTTTTTAATTATAAAAATTTTGTTATAAAAACTTTCTAAAGGTAAACGAAATTGTTTATTTGTCGGAACTTTTTTGTTTTAGTATATTTAAGTGTTTTTAAAAGAATTTCATTTGTTTTTTTTTTTCATAAAGACTGGAGTAAACCTTATTAGTATTTTCATTAAACAATGTTAAGTTAAATGAAAAAATATCAATATGATAACGTCTATCAGCTATTCATATTTAATATTAACGATTCCGTTTGTTGGTTTAAGCTTTAATAATCATGTTTTGTACAAAATATCTTAAAACAAAAAAAAAGTGAAGCGATAAAAATAAACCATGGCGGTATATAATTTCAATAGGGAATTAAATTAACAATTATTATATTCATTTACTCAAACGACAAAAGAAAAGTTTTAAATTATTAACCTAACTCTTTTTTTTTTAATTATTTGTTTGAATATAATACACTTTTAGGATAAGCAGATATCTTAAAAAAAGAAAACTTAAAATGGCATTTCTTTATGAATAAAAAACTTTTTTTATTTTTTTGAATTGACATTGTAATATTTTACTTAATATTACAATATTCACGTCAATAAAACTTTATGAAAAACAACAATTTGACATCAAAATGTCACGAGTGCGATATTAATAATATTGTATGTTATTATGTACATTTTGATTACGTTTTGTTTTTGAAAAGGTTTTATAAAATAACTTTAATTTTATCTTCAGGTTCAAGTACTGTACCACCATCCGAGTTTGGGACAAAAAATTGAAATCGTCTTGGTAAAATTGGAAATATTTAAAACACAACCTGCCGACTTGCCACATTACGGTGGCGAGAGAAGTTTGTTATTGGATTCGTTTTGCGCATTCAACAAGAAATATCGAAAACAAGAACAATGGGATATCGGACTCTATATTTCGGGGTAAACAAAATTATATCAAATATGCTTACTCATAAACGTATAAAATGGTGGGTATCCATATTTTCTTAAAAAAAAAAAAAAAAAAAATAAGTAAATAACAAAATTCATCAAATTTCTAATATTGAACACTTTTAAAATAGTATTGTAATTATGTATTTTTGATATTTCTTAATTTGGATATAAATAACTTGTAAGAAATATTATATATTTTCTAGATTTTTGAACAAGTAAACAATATTTTATCGGAAATAATTATTTTTTTTTTAAATTGATACTTTCGCATGTCTATAAAATATAAATAGCTTAAAAACAGTCAGAGAATATTTAAAATTTTACTGTATATATCAAATTTTAAATGAACATTTAGAAAAGTAATTTTCAATATTTAAGATTATTTATTTTTGAGTTATATCGAATAAAATTAATTTTTTCAAAAACTGCTTTTGTGTAAAAATGTTTATTTTTTCCAATAAGTTTGAAAAATACTTGAAATTTTTAATATTGATCACTCAACAATATAAATTAGACATAATTTTTTATCAGAAACTATACATATAGTTACATAATATCGAAATATTTGTTCACTTACTTAAAGTGTATACTGTATATACATACAAATAATTATTATTTCTGTTAGATTAAGTATTTCCTATTTCAATCGAATATATTCGTATGCATAGTATAGCAAAATAGTAAAATACAATGATAATATGTTCATTACATAAAACAAATAGGACTACCGCATAATAAAAATGAGTGTAACAAAAATTTATAAATAAATATGAACTTTGTTTTTTAGTTTAGACTTTTACGCAATGGAAAATGGACGCTGGAGTGGCTCCACCATGGGTGAGTGAAATAATATTATAAATAACCAGGTTATTACTTTTCGTATATGTATGCATTTTTCTCCAACTATTTCTTCATTCTTCTAAATCAAAGCCGTTCTGTATTTTATTCTCCATATTTTTTTAAAATGTAAGAAATTTTTTGGACCCAACATTTAATCTGAATTTTTCTGTATAGTAGTTGAAATATAATAATGTAAATTCAGTAGGTATTAACTATTAATGTGTTAAATAAAAAATAAACCTATAATAATTATTGAACTGTACGATCTTAAAACATAACTGACATATTCACATATTTGTTTGAGATAAAGTATGATTAAATTAATTAAAGTATTTGTTAGTTTTAAAGACTTTATCAAAGCTCACACTGACCTGTATATACACAAAATTAAATTTTCTCATTTACATAAATGCCAATATTATGCATCAGGTCAAATGCTGAACCACAATAGTAATACACTTATTTATTAGCATGATTTTAGTATTAAATAATTTTAGTTGTAGTTATGAGCAAATTACATTAACTACTATTTTTATTTCAATCGTTTGCTTATATAATAATATTGTTATATTATTAATTCGCAGGTCTGGCAACTGTAGGCGGTATCTGTTCGGAGAAATATTCATGTATTATCGCAGAGTTTGGCTCTACAGACGCTCTAGGAAAACCGTACCCGTCTGCGGGCTTTACTTCCGTATACATATTAGCACACGAAATAGGCCACAGGTATTTTTACTAAAACTTTTTTTTGATAAAAATGTTACCTTATTATTTTTATTATACGTATGATCGAAACGAAACGAAAACCCCCAAAAAAAGTACGGTTTCACGTGTCGGTTGAAAACAATTTTCAGTAGTATAAAATGGATTAAATGAAAATTTAATAATTTTGTACCGCTTACGTCGTCATCGTAATTACTCTCATCGTGTTCCGTCACATCGATCCAACGATAATAAATGAGAGAAAATACTAACCTTTAGTGGTGTATACGTACATTACCCGTCATCAAAGACCTAAGGTCCCGTGAATAATTAATTACTGTTAAAAACATATACCTTATCATATTAAAGATTCGCCTTTAATGTTTTTGAGGTTCACTTGAAAGGCGGCGATGAACACATGTTGTCGACGATACTTTTATACAACTCGCGACTTTTTACCACGTCAAATTTTAAAGACGCAACAAAAAATTTAGGAGTCTAGGTGCAGATCAAAGTTATTATGTATTAACTTAATTTACTTTCAAAGTCTTGGGGGTCCTCTTATGAAATGATGAGGCCTCTTTTAAGGTGTTAAGCACCAACAGCACCCATCGTTAGTCGTGACAAAAGTCTATCGTATTTATACGTTTTTAGTTGTGTAATTACGAAGGGAGAGGAATTTGAGTGTCATATTTCTCTCAACTATTTTTTTTTTTTTTTTAAATATTTGCACACCACCTTCGTGTACTTATTTAATACTACTCATGTATATTTTATGGAAATAATACGAAAATAAAAAACAGAATTCTCTATGTTAACTGTGCCTATATTACTAAAATAATACTATTGTATAAATATGTTATATTGCATTGTGGTAAAAATAAAAATAAGCTACTAAGTGGTCGAATATATTATTTTATCGCTGAACGACGATGAATAATGTATTACTCTATCAATTGTACGTGAATATTTAAATAATATTTATTTATTTGCAAGTGTTCATATATATTATATACATGTACTTCTCTTATACATATCACAATAATTGTATCGAGAAGTGTGTAAGATATACACGATATTTTTTTAGGGGTGATAATATGTAAAATGTATAAAAATGTCATCCTCCTTCTTCCCACTTGTATGACAAAATTACACCACAGTAAGTCTTTAATATTTGGTCGATATTTTTTTATGTAACATCTTCTATAATATATGAGCACAGCTCAAGTTCACCAAATTGACGTAATTCCGCCCCTCTATAAAGACATTTTTTTTTTTATGAGTGGCGTAACCAACATTTATATAATATTATTTTAGTCATTTCGCTATATTATATTCGTCGATATTTTTCCAAACGTTTCGTTCGCGGGTCTCGCTGTGATCTTACCGCTTTATAAAACAACACCAGAATGTTTACGTTACGTCCAAATGTTTATTTGATGTTCGAAACGATGACCTTAATTATCGAAACCCACCCGTGGTCCTGCGCAGTAGTTACATTTAAAGTACCACTAGGAACCCGAAAAAGTGCAGGTTTGTGTCAAATCAAGGCTTAATATAGTATACTTTAACAGTATATAAGTTAGATATTACAATATCTGCAGATTTTTTGCTTATTAGTACGATAAAGATGAGCTCTGTAGAAGCTCATAAGAAGTAAGGAAAAAATATCTCAATATATATTAGTTAGCTAAACAGTAAACGATAATTTTATTTATAAATTAATCATTTATGCGCCGTACTACATTATTGTAATTATCTGCAGACATATTTTTTGCCGGTATTCAGAACATCTTACGTCAACTGCGTTGACATCAACAGAATGACAAAGTATTACGATGATAGTAATAATAATAATACAGCACGTCGATGTCGATGCTGTATTTCCAAAATGTAATATAATATTATATTTTTTTGTCGATTTACTAGTCGGAAGAAATTAATCATCGAATCATATTTTGTCAGTCCTTCTAGGCACGTTATTAATAAACATTCCACAACAACGTTTTAACAGAAAATTTATATTTTCATTTTTGTTTATATGTAGACTAAGTATAATATTATATTAAACGTGACAGTCTTTAATGACTTACCATTAATACAGAAAGAAGTCTTACCGCAAACGAATACATTTATGCGCAACCATTCCTGTTAACAAATTTCTAACAAAATTATCACGCAAAATTAGGATTGATGATAATGCGAAATGAATCAAAAATTAAAGGTTTTTATATTTGGTATTGGACATGGGAACATACATTTGTAAGACATCAACTCAGCTATAATTTTCTTTTTTAACGTATATTATCTGATACTGTATCGGATGCTGATCAGAAGGTTAGATTATTGATTATATTAAAATATAATGTGTACAGTGTACATAATTTAATATTGTAAACTATACTTCTATATTTATAGTTTGATATTTCATATATTAAATGTTTTTGAAAAATTCAATGAAAATAGAAAACTTTAATTGAGAAGCGTACCTATATCATTATATAATCAATTAGCCTTTTTTTTATTACTTTATTTTATTTTACCCAACAAGTAAATAACTATGTTTTAATGAATAACACTAAAATTAACACTCATACTGGGTTTGAATCATTTTTAGTTTTAATTTTTGATTCATTTTTTCCGTCTTTATTTATATACTTATAGTGTATAATATTCATTTAATTTAATTATCTTACTATTAAAAAATATTTCATGTGCTTTTATTATAATAATATTATGTTATTTTAAGTAAAAACATAAATATTAATTTACGTGTTTTTGTAAAATAATTGTTTTTTGTTTACTTAAAGGTTTATACCTGTTTCCTTAGGAACAAAAATAATGCATGATAACAGAATTCATTTTTTTTACATAAATAACATGATTGTATAAGTTGTTCAGTAGTAACACTACCTTAACGCGTTATTTTTATTTTTTTAAATTTTTAATTAAAACTGTTAATCATTAAATAATAATTAGGCCACAAAACTAACTTTTTTTTAGGTTTATAGGGGAATTTCTAGGAATTGTGACAGTGTTAAGGTTTAATATGAGACGGAAGTTAGGAATGGAATTTTTTTTTTTTAAATGTTACTGTTTTTTTATGGATAGTTAGATCGCTATATAATATTAAATTTAAAACATAAGGTGAGGAATTGGTGATTTTACAAAGGATAATATTTAAGAAAATTTGAATTTTGTCAGTGTTTAATTTTTTAGTATTTCCTTGGAGTTTAAGACCATAAGTTCATATTGGCTTAAACAGGAATTTATATAATAGAAGTTTTGTATTTAATTTAGCGTACTTGTTGTTAATAATTTGAGTTTTAATTAAACAGAGGATTTAATTTAAGGCAAGCCTTTTTATTTTGATGTGGTATGACCAAGTGAGCCGGCAGTCAATAGTTATACCTAAGTATTTAGTTGATTGAGAGGTAGGAATTTGAATATTATCTAGAAAAACAACAGAGCAGGGAGGAATGCAAAGAATGAATATGTGTGATTTTGATCGATTGACTTTGAAATATCAAAATGTATACCAAGCACCTATAAAAACAAGGTAGTTTTGACAATTAAGGGAAGCTGTGTAAACATCCTTATGAATATAAATAATAACCTTGTTATCTGAAAACTTAGCAACTGTTGTGCTTGGAGAAAATGGTTGGGTTGATCGGTAACATAGATATTGTATAATATTGAGGATAGGACATCCTTCTGTGAAACACAGGCACTAATCTTAGCTTTACCCAAATATGATAAACCAATCTTCATCTGAAAATAACAGTTGGAGGACAACACTTTATTAACAAGTAGTAAGTTGAGAAGGAGAAAAATTCTAACTTTCGAAAACTATCATTCATATCTGTCACCGAGGCCCAGTATACATTTTGAAGTATCATCAAGTAATTTGAACCGTCCTAACCAAAGGAAACACAGTGGACTAGGTAGTAACGATAAAATTTAGTTTTCCCGTAATTCTGATAATTAATACATTGGTTTATAGATTTAGACTTGTAAGGTTATTTCACTTTTATTTTGATGTAAATGTCAGATGATAGCTTATAATGTCATTTGATTGAATAGTTAGCTCGAGGTCCACAAAAAAGGTTGTTGGTTTTTATTGACTTTGTGAAGTAAACTAATTACCCGTTTGACCTCAAATAAGCGCAATGTTAGTTCCAATTTAATTAGTTTTGTGAGAGTGTGGTCAGGGGGAAATTCCGTATTCAGTATTTTGTTCCTCTAGAAAATCAACCAGTATTCTGTATAATACTGGGTTTGATATCATTATTTTAAAGCGATCAGTAGAGGATTTGCAAAAGAAATTTTCTATGTTGATTAGTTCAATAAGGTTTGTGCAAAGGTCAGTACATAGTTAATAACAGCTTTTACAAATATTGGTGGAGGAGAGATTTGATACCGATATTGATACCCTCTGTCAAGATTTTTATTGAGAGAATCTAGAAAAATATCATGCTATGAAGACGTGTGTACTGGTACATCTTAAAATAAAACTTCAAAGCAATTTGTTGTAAAAAATAACGTTTTGTTGTTTATTATTGGCGATACATTTTAATCATTAATAAAGGATTGGTTTTTTAATTTACTTTGATTTTTTGGCGAGGCTGGGTCCAACTGTCCAACAGAGAATGTTGCATGGCAGTATTGACTTGACAACCGACTTAGAGACTATTCTGTTGGTAAAAATTAAAACTGTTTAAATGAGCAGACTGTATAATTATGCTGTTGCTGTAATGGTTAAATTTAAATTTATGTTTTTAGACGTAGAGTGCGGCGTAATTATTATGCAGCATAGACGTAGACACCCGCCGAGGTGGCAGCGATAAGGAAGGCCAAAATAAGTTAGCGTGAGATAACAAAACAGTAGGTAACGACAGCGTTATAATAATAAATGATATTTCTATAAAAAAAAAAAAATATTTTGTAAAGGAAAAAAGAAAATTTACACATAGCGTAAACATGACAGCTTTAGTTAAATAATAACGCAAATTATAAAACAGCTGCAAATATAATAATGAACCTTGTAGTCCATTGTTGAACGTGTAGAGGCTCATATGGTTATTAACGAATGTTAGGATTTAAATAATTATATAATCTATGCGGAATAATAGCGAATACGTATATTAACAGAAATAGCAATGAAAATAAATTCACAGATTACACACAATTATTCGTTAATACTATTCGATTTATAAAAACAATATTAAAGCAATAAGAAAAATAAAAAACTATTACTACGAAACGGGGAGATGCAATGCTGTCACATCGCGTTCCGCGCGTAAGAACTTAACTACTGTCAATAGTATTTAAAATAATAACAGTAATAATAATAATAATAATAATAATAATTCTTAAAACGGAATTAAATAAAACCTGACGAAGTGCGACAGACCGGTGTACACACAACGGTTCCTAATCGCGAGCTGTAAATTCTTATGAAATAAAACTTTTGTATTAAGAATAAAATCAATATTTTACAATACTTGTTAACGTATATCTATTCAAAGTTTTATAAATTCTAAAAATTTTATAAATTTTTTTCAGTTTTATTTATAAGTTTGTTTTTATACTTTGACAATGATAACTGCACTTATATTCATTAATATTTATCTGTCCAGCCTGATTAATTTGCTATTTGTGATTATATTAGTTAGCGAAAAAATCTTCTAACTAAATAATTGCTACAGTTAAACCTTTCTTATAACAGAGCTCATAAACATGCCTTAATAAAGGACAGATTTTTGGACTATAATATAGTATAGGTCAGTGGTTCTTAACGGGGGCGGTACCGCCCCCTTGGGGGCATTTCGGTCTCTCTGGGGGGCGATAGTTTTGAAGGGGGCGTTGAGGGGGCGGTAAGCTTTTTCAAGCTCGGAGATGAAAAATAATACAATAATTGAACGTGAAATCAGAATAGTTGTAATTGCGACAATTGCGTACGCTATGTAACGGTATACGGCATGTTATCTAATCGCATTTTACGTATCGGGAACGTCCTGTTTATAATAGATTTATTTTTACGTTTTCAACCATAGCTCTGGACTATTGTATACTGTTCCTTGCACTCTTGCAGTACGTGATTTATATCGTTACAGTGAACGTCGCGTTTTCGAATAAACTAGTGCGTTTTTCTGACAACACTAATAAATATTTTTATAATGAGTGATCATAGTGCAAAAAAGAAGTGCCGTCAGTATTTAGTAGAGTACCTAAAGTTTGGTTTTATCGCATCACCACTTAATGTACAGTTACCGTTGTGCCTTATATGTGAAAAAACATTTTCGAATGAGGCAATGAAGCCATCAAGAATGAAAGATCATTTATCAAAAATTCATTCCGATAAACTGGAGAAACCACTTTCGTTTTTTCAGGCTCTTAAAGCAAAAATTGAAAAACGGTCTACTGTGAATAGTTTATTTAAAAAACAAACATCTGATCTTGATAAAGGACTTGTCGCTTCGTACAAGGTGTCTTTATTGATAGCAAAAAACAGTAAACCTCATTCAATCGGTGAAACTCTTATTTTACCGGCTCTCAAGGAAATAATCGATACTATGCAAGGAGAGGGTACTAGCAATAAGATGATTAAGTCAATTCCTTTGAGCAATGACACTGTCTCCAAAAGAATTGATGAAATGGCAGATGACATCGAAAACAAACTTATAAATTATTTAAGAGAAAATAATTTTGCACTACAGATTGACGAATCAACTGTGACAGATAATAAAGCTATATTACTAGCTTACGTGAGGTTCATTAATGAACGTAAAGAAATCGTCGAGGAATTATTGTTGGCTACAAGTTTGATCACTGATACCAAAGGGTCGTCGATTTTTCAAGCGGTGGAGGAATATTTTACCAGAAAAAATGTCCCCTTGACAAATATTATTGCATGCGCAACGGATGGCGCTCCTTCGATGACCGGTCGTCATGTTGGGTTTATAGCCCACCTTAAAAAAGCTGCCCCAGGTGTTATTTGTGTTCATTGTGTTATACATCGCCAACATTTAGCTGCTAAAAACTTAAGCAGTGTGCTGCACGAAACCCTTCAATTCGTCATAAAAGCTGTAAACAAGATTAAAGCAACTTCACTCAATGACCGCATGTTTCGAGAACTTTGTCATGATAATGATGAAGATTTTGAAAGATTACTTTTGCATACTGCAGTAAGGTGGCTTTCCAAAGGAAAATGTTTGTGTCGTTTTTTTGCATTATTTGACTCTATCATTGAATTTCTCGATAAAATTGATCCTGTCTTAAAAGAAAATTTGAAGCAACGAAAAATTGAGATTGGGTACCTCACAGATATTTTTGAAAAAATGGTTTAATTCAAATTAATTAATATATTGATTTGTATAATTATGACAATAATAAAACAGCCATATTTATACTACGTAGAATCTCTTAAGTCAAAATTAAATAAGACTAAATTTAGTTTAGATTAGCGATTCCTCCGGATTAATAATGCTTTTTTTAAGATATTCAAATGACTAATACATTTTGTTTCACCTTAATTAAACCGTTTTGATAAAAAATTGCAATAAAATATATTTTATATATATATATATGCAATTTAATAAGATATTGTTATAATTATCTAAGTAGGAAGCCAAGTTAATTTAATTCAATTATTTATAAGTGAATAAATAAATACTTTTTTTTTTTTTTTGATTAGTGGTTAGAGCTTTTATTTAGTAAAAAAATTATTCAACAATAAACTGTAAGCAAGCGTAAAAGTGCGAAGAATACACCTAATAGCATTGTATGTGTGTTAAATATTTGCGTAAATGTGATTTATAAAATAATAGATTAATATATAAAGCAAGCTTATCACTTAATTATGATTTTTAAAATACATATATTTTATTAACAAATATAACTTATGAACATGTTTTATATGGAAAATTATTTATTTATTTTATTTTAATAGTTTTATATTATTTTTTTTTATAATAATAAATGTATCATATTAAATATTTATTTTTAAATAAAAGGTTTAGCACATTTTCTTCACAAACAGCGGTCGCCTGTGATTTATAAAAAGTAATTCTACGATGCAGTTAGCTAGGGGAATTAAAAATTTAAAACTTAAGAAGTTATAATACCTAAAATTAATACATCCTACTGCATTATTAATAGTAAAATGTATTACATTAATAACAATAAAAATATTTCATAAATTTAACAGACGGTCTTCCTAAATAATAATTTTTCATATCTAATGATTAATAATTAAATTCAAAATGTACGCTTTTCTAATTTATTAATGACAAATTGCATTTGACATTTACTGCATTGCAGAGTGGATACCATATTCTATCTTTTTCAATAACTTATGTTTCTCAGATACTTCTTTTACCCTTTCTGCCTCTTTGGGACGACCGATATTTAGAGATTTTACTATATTAAATATTATATTTAAATCAGTATAAAATAATATAGACAAATTAAGTAGAATACATTTGATTTAAAAAATATAAAACATTTTTTTCTACAGTTTAGGTATGCATCATGATGGCAATACAAACAATTGTCCAAAAGAAGGATTTATCATGTCGCCATCGAGAGGAATAACTGGAGAATTGTTATGGTCAGAATGCAGTGCACGCGTTGCAGAAAATCTCAAGTAAAACAATTAATATGGTATTTTAATTCAATAAAATTTGCGAATTACCAAGCAATATTACATGCATTGTTTTTGTTGATAATTGGTAATAATTAAGGCTCAAGAGTTTTAGGAATTGCATATTGCTCTAAATGCTCTCAATTTATAGCAGATCAAGATAGAAATCTGAACTGTGAAATGGAGAGTTAAAAAATTGAAAATACGTATTTTGTCAATTTTAGCTAAAATAAGTGCACATTTTATTGATTTTATACGCATATTATGCATATTTCATATTTTGAAAAAATTTATTTTTACTTTCTTAACTAGTATATTTCAATTAAATAAATATTGAATGTAAAACTTAAAATTTTCTTTGAAGGTATTTCTCGTAATTTTAAAAATTCTGAAAAAATATTTTTAGTTATATTTTTAGCTCAATAAGATACCAAAATGCCAACCATTTATAAATTGTTTTCAGTTATAAACAGTTTTTATGTATATTATTATTTTATTAATTTATTAACAACATCTAATATTTTTTTTTTTTTTTTGGAATTCAGAATAATTTTTTGCATATTTAACATAATTTTTAATGTATAATTTGTAATTTTTTCATGCATATTTTGCTTATTTTGCTCCTACAACTTCCGAGCCCTAGTAATAATTAAATTTTTATACACGTATGATAAATAAAATACGAACAGTATTTTTTATATATGCGCAGATAAATAAGTAAATTAACAAATACATTTATAAAAACAATTTATTTTGATTTAATGTTTATCTACAGAAATTAATTAACTTAAACTTATCTAATGTTTACAATTTGTTTAGACTAATAAGTATATTATTATTAACGATTTCACAAAAAAATAGTTAAAAAGAAGGAATTTTTATTTACTACCATAAAACAACTTATCAATTTACATAATTAAGAAAACTAAAACATTTTAATGTTTATTCAAAACGTAGTCTTTAAATAATTTTATTTTTAATTATTTATTTTAAACTTAAATTAACTCTTTTAGAGTTTTAAGATAAGTCATCAAAACTAAGTCATCGAAACCTTTTTTTGATTTTAAACAATTAATAAGTCAAAGAGAATTTTAATCACAAATAATGTCTAGACGCTAATAAATAATAAGTATTTTCATTTATTTTGTTTATAAAATTAAATTGTATACAACTTATTTTTTTTCAAACTCAAGTTTTAAACACACAAATACTTATAGAAATTTACTGAAAATTGAAAGATGTTATCCACATTTTAACAAAATGTGTTATAGGCACATTATAATATTATATTCAATGTAATTTAAAATAATAAATCAATATTACTAGCATTTTTAAATATTAAATTTATTATAATTTCAAAAATAATTCAATTTAAAATGCCTTTGAATGCAAATTACTTACGAATAAAATGATTAAAAATATAATTTAAACATTTATTTTTCTATTTTGTGGAAAGCCAAAATTCGTTTTCGAGTAGCAAATGATAATATTCTAATAATTTGGTAAATGCAAACTATTTAATTATTATTATTCTACGTCATAATAATATAACTGTGATCGTTTTTTTTTTTATTTCGTTCGCTGAAAATTAAAAATAATTGTTCGGGATTTTCCGAACGAATTCGCATTTATTTAATTATTATTAAAATGTACAACACATATATTCAACAACGCGTTGTAGACTTGCTGAAGTGTAGTCAACACATTATGATCATAATTATTATTCTACGTCGGGCTAACGTAATATAATTTTCTGTCGGCATTTTTTTTTTTACTCCAGCAATTTTGAATGTCTCTTCAAGCAGTCTAGTAGTCGACATTCGGCTACAGTCCAAAAGTTAAATCACAACAAATTCGCTGACAAACCTGGCCAAGCGTGGGACGCAAAAAAGCAATGTGAATTGCTGTTATTGGACAACGACGCTCGGGTAATGAGCATTGAAACAAATTTGGACTCGTCGCAACAACAGCCAGAAGTAAGTTTGTTGTCACGACAACGGTCATGCAATAACACCTTATTTAACAAACACGTCGAGTATAATATGTTTATAGTCTTCAACTAACCCCCGCACAACGTACCTGTTCATTGTAGTGGAAACAAAAGTAGAGCGATACGTTTATTAGGAAATATAAGATTTTTCGGTGTCCTGACTGCTGCTTCTGTTATTTTTAGGATAACTTTATAATCTTTAGTTTCTAAAATCGTTTTTGTTCCTAATCAACGTATACAAATATAACTGAATGATTTATCGAACAAGTTGTTACAAAATTCGGTATCATACATCATACTTGTCGCCGTGGATATTAATAAGGACCCTGGGTTAAAAAAAAAATAATAGCACTAGCTCTCAGTAGTTCTCTAAAATAATTTATTTCGCTTTTTAAAAAAATAAATATTTATTCGACAAATGTAGTTTTAAAAACAAAAACTAAATCTAGTGTGAAATATTTCTATAACTGTTATCATTTTAACTTATAATATAATAATTAACCATTTGTTCCATAGGTTCAATAAAGCGTAATATTAAAAAAAAAAATGCATACATTGTATTGTATAATGGAAGATATCCCTTAAGAAGTAGTAGAACAAATTATTTAAGTTCTTTTTAATTGTACACCTAATGCGTATCCTGTGCTTGTCGGAAAATCAGCGATAAATTTATAGTGTTATATTATTATATATCTATATACTTAAAATATTATTGTTATCATTTTACTTTTTTTTCGGCGTAGTCGTATTTTGTAGTAAGACTCTAATAACTCATTTCGTTTATACATAATATGTATAATGTTTACTATTGGTTATGCAATTCTATGATAATTACATCAGAACATAAAATATTATATACAAATATTTTCCCTACCCAGACTTTGGTAGGAAAGGGTTTGTTTACATTCGTTATTCCTAACTCTAGACTAAGCAAGAGGATAAACATCATCCAGTTTTATACTAGCAGATCTAAAATACAAATCCAAGATACGGTTACATAGTTTTCTTGTATTGATTTAATACAACATAATTTTTTTTTCACTATTTATGTCTTTCATATTATCACTATTCATTAATATTGTTTTCTTTTCTCTTGAAAGCTAATCAAATTTACTTATTGTGCTTTTATAAGTATAGATTTTAAAAATCTTCTGATTAAATAAAAAAAAAAAAAAAAATGTACATCGTAATAAAAAAACTCGTTTGTATTGTTGAATGACGTTTGTAACTTTTTATGTATATACGTTTTTTCGTAATTATTACTAAAGAATATTACTTATATTGTGTTTTATTAAATTTTTCGCAAAAATTCAGTTCAAGATACCTTTTACCTACCTATAGGACATCCGTATAAGCGTTTGTACTTTTGTTCTTGCTTATCAAAATTATTTAATGTTGGTATAAATAGTTAAATGCACAGTTTAAACTTTCCAAAATATAACATAGATTTTATACTCAATCAACAAATATTTTTAGTTATTTTAAAAACACAATGACTTTTTAAAATATCGGTATAGAAACATTAAACGTTATAGATTTATAACAGTCAATAATATATACAAGTGTTTAGAGCTTAAGAAACAAAGATTAAATAGTGTATTCTATATTTGTATATCCATTAGGAATATCTATAGTGCATTTATAATACACTATATAATATTCTCTCTGTTCATCTAAACTTTAAATATTGATAAATTATATACTAAATAATTGGCAAAACAAAAACCGATAATAATAACTGTATACTGGTTGTTTATTAAAAATGGACTGATACTGAATAAAAAAATTAGGTGTATCTTTTAAAATTAAAAGTGTAACAATAACCTTATGATATAAAGTATACACAAATTGATAAAAATTGGATGATAAAACGAAAGTGGACTAATCAAATCATTCTATGAATAAATTATAAATTACATCGTAAATATCTACTGATTCTTTCAAAAAGTTTGTTAACAGTCGTGCTATCAAATAAAATGTTGGTCTTGTTAAATCAAATACATTTTTAAAGAGAAAACACGAACACGGGTACGATTGTCAGTTCGTCAAAATATAGTATTATGATTCACAAATTAATGGATCAGCAATTAATCATCGGAACTTTTTATTTATTACAAATATACATCATAACTTATAAATAGATATAATTTTAATAATAATATAACTGCTCCGCATTCAGTATACATATGAAACGCATATCAGTTGACAGTATTTAGACATTATGTAGTTAATTTTATGGTATTTTGCGTAGGATATATGTGAAAATTTACAATGCGAAACGCCAAATCGCCCTGGATATTATTTTGCTGGACCAGCGTTAGAAGGAACCGCGTGCGGACCCAGCTCGGTAATTATACACGCATTATTATATTTACACTTATACATATTTATGCACAGCACGTGATAATATGTCATTTTAAAAGTTTTTTTTTCTTTTTCTTCTTCTCTCGTTTGCTTTGTTTTCTAGACGCTATAAAACAGTGGTGTTGGTAATTATAAGTTGAACACCCGTCGTTTAAAATTTAAAACAAAAATGGCACGACGCGTGAAGATTCGCCCGATACGCTATCATACTTATTGTCAGTGACTATTTTTAAAGTGGACATATTCAAATTATATTATATTGTCCGCTATAGCCTATAGGTACCTACCAAATATATTTGCTTAAAAATTTTTATCTTATTAAATATTTTTAACAATTATCACCTAAAGATGAAGACTTAAATCATTTGCATTTTTTTTTTTTGTTTTGAAATAAAATCTAGCAAAGTGGTATGGAAATGTATGGCATGCAACTACCTATTATTATTTTAGAATTCTTGGATTAAATGTTTATATTGGTGGTTTTTTCGTTGAATATTTTCAACTTTGAAACAACGCAGTTGATATTAAAAAAAAAAAAAACTAATTAATTTTTAAAATATTAAAATATTGAAAAAAATAAACATTGTGCTCAAGCATAAGTATCTGTTATTTCAAAATATAAGAGAAAAATATTTAAGTTTTGAGAAGAGAACGTAGTTTTGGTTTATTTTTTTATTTTTATGAAGAACACGTCTAAATTGCTATGTCCCACATATACTGGACAAAGAATTAAACGGTTAATATTGAATCCCCATAAAATTCAAACCCTATAGTTGCCTGGTTTGGTAACAATTATATTTTTTCAAAAACATATAAAATAAAGTATGTTATAAAATTTAAAGAAAAAAAATAGATACGATTATAAATCAACTTAATATTTATTTATAGGTAAATTTATCCTACATGGGTATTAGGTATACTGTTTAACAATATTCACAATAACGGCATATAAATGATTTTTTTTTCTTGCAAATCAGGAAGTATGTATGTTCTGTTGCGCTAAGTATGACCAGAAAAATAAATAAAAGTTGTTGTACATATAATAATATATAGTTTAGCTTAATTCAATCAACCGATTTGACGTAAACACTTTTTTTTTAATCCACTTTAAATTGAAAAAGCTTTTTATGGATTCCCCAAGATTGAACCTATTTTTGTCAATTTTTTTTTTTTCGAACGCAGTGGTGCGAGGCGGGAAAATGCGTTAAAGGCAAACCGAAAAAACCTAAAAAGATCATAAAAGGTGGATGGAGTCAGTGGAAGGTGCACGAGTGTACGTCAGGGTGTATACATAAGTCAAAAGGTATGTGGTGGGTTTTTTTTTTTTTTTTTGTTGTTTATTTTCTACACTCTTTTTCATCACCACGTAATCACAATGCACTCCAACAATATACTACGTTTGTAGGTTTTAGATCCAGAACGAGGACGTGCAACAATCCTAAACCGGTAAATACGATTGAGGGATGTGAGGGACCCAGACACGAAGCCGTTCTCTGCAAAGACGACAAGGTATATTTTGATATTATGTATAATATATATTTATATATTCTAGTCTAAATTTACAATTATCGACATAAGTCTTGTCAACTATTTATATTTAAAGTCATTTATATAAAAAATTTAAGCCACTTATTTTTAAAGCTGACTTACGCATGTTGTATACCTATAAGCGAAATGTTTATAGTGGTCGCTGTAAAACTTAATACCAATCTAATTTGTGTGTCTTCATTTTAAACAAGTCGAGAATTAATTGTCCATACCTTTTTTGATTCATTACAAATCATGACGTGCCATAATTAATTTACGAGTATTGTTTATAAACAATTTGTCTTGTGTCTTGTAGACATGTCAGAAGTCTAAAAAAATTACTGCCGCGGAATACGCGACAGCCAAGTGCAAGGAATTAGCTTCCATACTGCCGGTGTTGGACAAGGAGTACTCAGGCCTACAAGCACCTCACGAAAATGGTTAGTGCAATCTATGTTAATGGATTTCGAATTTACGTATATTATATAATATTTGCATATTAAGTGCCTGTTACTTTAAATTAAAACTATTTTGATGAACAATTTAACCGAACGAAATATTCAATTCTGATAATGTAAAATAAAACACGTTGATTATTTTAACACAATTTAAAATAATTTCCAACAACAAACAGCATCTATAGTATAGTTATGGAGGTTCCTAGACTTAAGATATCTTGCCAGTTATACTGTTTTAATTATATTATATATTATATATTAAATATGTACCTATTATTTTTACTCAATGTTTAGTTAATTTATTAAATTCTATATAAGCATAATAGATTGGCATGTTTGGATAAACGATTAATTTTTCAATAGGTTAAAAATAACAATTTATTATAATCGATATAATCTAAATAAATATATATAAATATTTCTTTAAAGTGTATAACTATTGTATTACATAATCATATAAAACTTCGTTTTTTTTTTATTATTTTTTTTTATTTTTTGTAGTAGTAATATTAGTAAATAGCACGTGTGCCTTGTGGGCTTAAACTTTGATCAAAGTACACATGGTGCACAATAATTAGTCAAAAAAAAAAAAAAGTATATACGCTGTTATCAATTGTGCACAGACAACATTATTTAGTAGTTGTTTAGTTTTTTTTTTAAAGTTTCATAATATCATCATAAGCACGTTACGGCGTATAGCAGTCATGTTTTTAAAGCTCATTTTAAAAGTGCTCGCGTGTTTGCTAATATACTGAATAAATACAAAACCGTTGTGTTCAATCAGGTGTATCTAACTTATAACTTATAATGCGCGTTTAACTAGCTCCGTTTAAAATGATCACCTTGTAAACATTTTAATAGTTTGGTGTTTTTCTTTCTAATGATCCTGTTACGATGTAACGATTATATTAACAATTGTTGTCGTAGTGATTGCTATGCGTTGTTTTGACAAAATATTATTACAATAACAATAAATAATAATAATCATTGGTGGTTATGATTGTCATGCCATCGTCGCGATCACAGCGCAATCATTACGACATAATCAGATATTATAATCGAGATTGGGAATTAACGAGTTAAATATATTGAGTTACTTTTAGCTAAGTAATATAATAAATTATTTTTTTTAAGGTAAATGTTTTTACTTAAATTTGTTTCCATGATACGTAGATACTCATTAGTCAATTTGTTTTATAACTATGTTAAGTTAAATTATTTTCCTAATATAGACATAGATTTAGCAGATACATTATATTACTATTATACCTACCATACTTTCATAGATAATTAAAATCTCACCCAATTACATTACTAATAATTGACGAGATTCATCGTTGTTTTCGATCTATACTTTAGATTTATTATCATCTAATATTATATGTTTGTACCTACTCCTACAGCTACACCAATATAACCAAAGTAACAATAACCGAACTCCTAAGCAGATCTAAAAATATATTATTATTAAATTTTTAATGAAAAAAAAAACAAAAATGAAAGGTCTTAATCTGGGTTATATTATGTTAAACGCGAATAAAAAATTAATTATATTCACAATTGAATCTCTCATCAACCCGTTAAAAATCATTTAAAATTGATTAGCTATCGTTAAAAATTGGCCTCAAATTAATTATTTATGTATTAATCTGCTGTGTTCCTTAAATTAAGTACATTAATATAAAACTATTAGATACAATTCAATTTATAGATTTTCAAACCAAACATTATTTTATTTCCTTAAATACATTTCAACAATTGTGTTTAGCTTAAAAAAAAAAAAACCGATTACCTCTCTGTCTAGCATGGTTGTAATCCGAGGATTTTTCGTTTCCTGCCAAATCGACATCGTAAGCGTGAGTAATTTTATCGTTTTTAATTCAGTTAATGAATAAACACATTGAACGATATTCATTAAATTTTAGTTTTTAATGTACAAGTAAAACAATAAACACTATACCTATTACTAAACTTATTCATTTTTATTCGTTATTAAAATATAATAATAAAATATTCAAAAACGCGGCTGCTCGATAAGTATTAGTATATTTTTTTTCGTATACTCACTAAGGACTGTTCGAAAAATAAAATACTTATGACTAAGCTGCTGAATTCGTTTTATTCGCACAGAATTTACAAAGAAACTTTAATTATTGTTTGATGCTCGCTTTTTAGAATTGTCGTAAAATATTATATTATGGGATATATAGGTTAGAGTACCGTTATATTGTTATCGGTGCGTCAAAAACACGATCACAATATTATTATTGTGATTATTGTTATTACAACTACAACAATCTGTATATTATTGTGAACTATTTCAGTATATCACAAACAGACTGCTATTTAATATTATTGTATCTATATTATTATCAGTTTGAATTTATTCTCTCTATAGGTGTTTCTATCTCTCACGAAATTGCATATTTTCTTTATACTTACTCTATTTACACGATATTGCATTATTTTACTAGTAATTAATATATTCTATTACAGCCCGCCCATGGATGGGATGTTCGGTGTTTTGCCGGCGCAAAGATACCGGGTCATTCTACACCCCCAGGTTAGACGTGTCAAACTTACCGGTCGATCCGTACTTCCCTGACGGAACTTGGTGCCACTCCGTGGACAACAATAACTATTACTGTCTGAATCACGTTTGCACGCCCGAGGTAAAATAACCATTGTTTGTTTTGCTGTATGTACTCATCATAAATGTCTAAATGTTAATGGACAAACACAGATAGTCGGTGTTCGGCATCGATATCGTAGTATGCTCGATAATAATTTAACATTGGTGTTAGAATTAGAAAAACGGAATAATTCTTTATAGGTCTATAAATCGCTAAATATTGCTGTCAGGAAATTAATTTTTTTCTCCTGCTTTATCCCACTATTAGTCAGAATGGGAATAAACCATCGGTTATTCTGGTCTGTCGCGAGAAGCGACAAGGAACTTGTATTAATATAGAATATAAGTTATAACTTATAATCTATATAACAATAATTATGTAAAATGATTAGTATTTAACTCATTTTTAACTAAGTGATTTAGTTTTGTATTTTATTTCTTAAAAAAAAATGAAAAAAAAAATTAATTTAATTCTAGAAATATGTAGAAGTATCACAATTTTTTAACATGGCTTTAGTTATTATAGCGTTATATCATTTATATCATAGAATATAAAATTATCACATAAATAATAAGTATTATATATTATAAGTTTAAATCTCAAATTTAGTGCATCATATTACCATATAAAATGTTATTTTTATTAACCTGGTGGTAAAAATATAATGTAGAATGAAGAAAGAGATAGTGGTACATATCAAATGTAAAATAACTGAATATGGATGCTATGATACTCAATGATAATGATAAAAAGATATTCGTACACGTTCTTATATAAAGTATTTTTTACAAAATCAAGACGTGAAGATAATAATACCAATCGTATTAAAATTTGTACTGCAAATGGATGTCAATATCATACTGTTGATGTATGACTAATGTTGTACTAAAGAAACATAGTTACAATATTGTTACACATTTAGTGTGTGAGTCATGCAAAATAACTAGCCAATTATCCTGGTTGACCATCAATTTAATGATATTACCATGTAAAAGCTAGCTGATTTTGAATTAAAACACGAATAAGTTTATAAAGTGACTACTATACTTTATCATCCGAGAGTAGTTATTACTAGTTTTTTTTTTCGATTAATAGAAAATAATAAATTGTATAAGATAAAGGATACCATAAAATTTGTTAACGCGCTCGGACTTTTTGGAGTCGACCTTAATGATGACGATTATTTCATACCTCATTCAGGTGATTTATACCGCGAAAAGTGGAAAGATCTTATGAGAGTAGATATTGTGGCGGCTGTAGGTAAAATGGATTAACCATAAGTATATACTCGTATATATTTATATATGGGAATAAAAGGTCATGGAAATAGCAACGTCTGTATAGGTAATACTGCTGCAGCTGCAGACTTGGCGATAATATATCTAGGGATTTGGATGTTCGGTGAATGATATATGATAATGAATACAGTCATGACGGTATCGACGACGTATATAACCTGTGTCATAGTGATTTTCTTTAGTGTTGACACAGTGTATATCATTATAGAGACAATAATATACGATGATAACAGATAAATAGATATTTTTTCTTCTTTTTTTCACACAGATGACACGCCGTTCTATATTATTGCGAGACATTATTACTTTCAATTTTGTGTTATTACATGGCGTGGCGTGTTTTGTGTATTTGAATATTTTAAAAGTATCTAAATGTTATACGTATCATAATATATTTAAAAAGTTTGGAAACATAATATTACAATACAAATTAAATATTTAATGAGTTTCCTAACTTTTTTAAAACGCCGCGTATAATTGTTGTACCCGAATTTAAAACTATGATATGATATTGAATGTGAATATTCTTAAATTCGATTTCTCATAAGAAAAAATAACTTTTTGCGTTTTAACGCCATCTATTTCAAATAATATTATGGAAAGGACATGACGAGTATATGTAGCTGTATGTACGCTTGAAAACATTTTTTTTTATGATCTGTGATTTATATTTATTTATTTTTATATCCTTACAAAATTGTTTACTTAGTATTAGTAAGTCACAAACCAAATTTAAATAAAAAATACATATTATTATATCAACAATACAAAATTCGTATTTTATAAGATCTAATAATTTTTATTTTTATTTTTTTTTATATAATATTAGGTAGGTATAGGTTACGTTGTTTATTTTAAAATATTATAATTGAAAAGATATTTTAAACAAAAACAATTTTAACGAGATTCATAGTATTTATAGATGAACGACACTGATCTTATTTAATAGCCAATAGTTAATGACCAAAAATGCAAGGACCCGTCGTTGTTCTTTAAAAAAACGTTCATCTTTTTTTCATTAAAAATTTTTTAATATAGAATAAAAATATTTATTCCACTTTTATTTAAACTCTAACGCCACTTTTTAAACTAACTATGCCTCCCGGTTTAATCTGTGAAATTCTTTTTTATTTTATTTACTAAACGATCGAGAAACTCGAAAAAGAACGGACGTTTTCACTACAACACTGCATATAAAATTAAATTATACTTACTATGTAAAAATAAATTCTATAGATCCATAGTATATTTGACATATTTATTGCACATAAAAATAGTTAATTAATAATAAAAATTACCACTCAATCGAAATTGATTGCTGAATTCAAAATATGGGGAAAAACAAATCTTTTTTTTTAGTAACATTAAAATATAATCAGAATTAATATTGAAGCCCTCATTAAATTAATAATAAAATTATTATATTTTCGTATTTGCGGTATCGCTGTTATAATTGTTGATAAAATAAATACATAATAAGGATATAAATCATAACTTTCCAAGATAATCGCTGGATTGTATAATTAGCATATGATACTACACACTTTGAGACTCATTGAACTAATTTTTAAAAATACGTCGAACTTTACCATATAATATTTAAGTACTTATCAATTAAAAATAAATATCACTTTAAATAATAGCAGTGGTAAACAACCTATTTTGTACCATGCCCCCCCAAAAATTTACGAAAAATATTTCACTAGCTAGCCACCAAATTTAACTCATCTTAATTAAAATTAATTTTTGAGGATCCTTACTAAAATTTAACGATCCCGCAAGCTGCATAACACCATAGAATATAGACAATAAACCGTAATATTAAATGTCACGTTGTAAATGAGACGATAAAAAAAAAAGTCCATAAAATATTTGAAATGGTTTCTATATTTCAAAGAAAAAGTAATTTTAATCAGCTATGAATATTAGTGAAGATAAACTTTTCCAAAAAAAACCAATCATTCATATATAAAAAGAATACTGGACAAATAAACTATTTTATAGACAAGAATTTTAAGCTTAGATGAAAGAATTAATATATTAAATTAAAAATTTAGTAAATTTTTACCTGTAAAAATCGTATAATGCATAAATTAAGATTAGTATTTACCAAACTCTAATTATTACCCTATTTATTACTTCCGGTATTTTATGGTGTTTAAACATTATTATTAGAAATTGTTTTTACTAAAAAACAACATTTATTAAAATTATTATTATTTATAAAAATATTCAATGCCAGAATTTTTTGATATTTCATACTTATTTTATTAAATTTTTTAAATTTTGAATTAAAATTTTGATTATTTTATATTAATAAGCAAATAATAAGTATAATTATTATATACGTTGTAAGTAGTTTAAGTTATAATGACACGTAAAAAAATCAGTACCTACTATATTACAGTTAACGTATTTGTTAAAAAAAAAAAATATATCCAGTTAAAAGTTACCACACTCACTTAATTAAGTATAATAAATTAAAAGGATATATTACCCGCATTTCGTATCATATTTTCGAGAAAAAACCTTAAAACTAATTAAAAACAAAATTAGGACTAGGTATTTAAGTAATTATTGAAATAAAAGAAATTTAGATATGTATAAAGTGCTTAAAATAGTAAAAATAATTTTAAAATTAAATCTCGTCCATAAAAGACTATGTACAAAAAAATAATGGGTATATTTTTGTAGTGTTTTATGCTTTTACTTAAATTATTTTAGCAAGCTCGACATTGAGTATAAACTAAAACCTAATACTTTTTAATTTTAGCAGTATATAATGCGACATCGATTTTTCTAAATCCTGTTCCGCGCTGTAAACCGCATCTACCATAATAATCAGTTCCACTACTTACTGAAGCAGTACCTTGGTGTATTATATAAAACTGTTATTCTATACTTACAGTTTTTCATGTACATACGTATCAAGTTACAATGTTTATGTTATTTAAACATTTTTTTTTTTACTTTCATGGTTTCATTTAGTAAAATATATTAGTCTAGACTCCGACCGTTCCTTACAGTTAGTATGATTTGTGTATAATACTATAACAGGAGTGGCGAACATGAAAATTTTCGCGAGTCGCATATATAAATACAATGGTATCAATAGCTAAAATGTTTATAAAATATGTATTTTATATAATTTGATGAATTTTAGATTCAGAACAAAGCAATAAATATGTTTATTTTATAATTATGTATTTGTTTTTGTTTTTATTTTGTGTATAAATACACGGTTAGTAATCGATAAAATACTTAGGATGATTTTAGATAGCAAATTGGATTTAATTTCTACTTTAAAGAATTCAAAATAAGTGTTCAGTATTTCTTTTATTTTTTTTTTTATAACTAAAGAAAACTAACAAAAAATTAAAGAAAAACAGAAATTATCACACTCAACCAAATTTTAATTAAATTAATTTCTTGATATTGTTATAACTCAAAAACATCCTTATCTTTTTTATATATTTAAAAAATTATTTTTATATAACACTGACTATAAGATATGTACGCAGTTTGTAGTGCTGCAGAACTGTATTTGACAGTTATTTGTTTTTTTTCTTGCAGGATGACTTGAAACGGTCGGGTAAAAGTTCGACAGACACTGGGGGAGACTTTCCAATGATCAGTCAGAACGCTAGGCCACCGGGACCGTATGTCGTACCGGAAGTTCTGTTACGTTACTTGAGTGTAGGTGCTGACGGCACGCCTTTGCTGACTACCATTACGCCAGATATGGTCGACAAAACCGATTATGGTGATTGGTCGAGCGACGATTACGTGGACATGCCTGACAGACCTTTGTAGAAGCACGTGCAGTACGCCATTAACACACGATGAGACTTAAAAAGGCATATAATACAAATCAGCCATATACGTAGTACAATAATAATAATAATAATAATCTATTCATATGGATTGAAAATTTCATCCACAGCTTTAATGATGATTCGTTCAATATGTACTAATCGATTATACAACTATTGCTTGTGTATGTACACATAATAAACCTACATACTAAGATTTCGTTTCGGTCTACTTTAACAGTTTTAAAAACCGACTACGATGAAAAATGAACGATATTTCGTATATAATATTAAAGATTGTACGTATTAAAATGTTAAAAATTCTTTAAATCGTTTTTTTTTTTTTTTTTTTTAATTACAAAATTGATTTATGAAAAATGTGTGTAACCGATCCGAATAAACATAACTCCGTATGAAGACATATATATTATCTAATTTTTAGTTAGACTTGGTATGATTTTATTTGGTCATCATAGGGAATAACTGTGCAAAAATTTTATATATTATTTTATTTTAGCTAAAGTGTTGTTATAATTTTAGATATTCTATTTCTGTTTATCATAATTCATAAACAATAGTGATGATGTATCTACAGGTTCTATAACTACCTAATTATAATAATATTTGGTCTTTTATCTCAATATTTGTTCTGCACCTACTTTTTATATAATATTATTATAATTATCAAGTGCGGCACTATTGTGCAGCGACTAATGAATTATACCTATTAAGCCCAAAAATGCGTTGATCGACGTTCTAATCAGTAAAGTTTTATATTATTTAACCTTTTTTCTTTTTTTTTTAAAAAAAAACTCTTTTTGTTTCGTTACATTGTGTTTGGGATAACAATGGTTTTCAGTAAACAGTATATACGCGCCTGACGTACCCGGAATAAATAAGATTTTATATAATAATGGAATATCATTATTCATTTTAACCGTGTTGTATACCGTTGCAGGATTTAATCGCGTATAATAAAGTAATTTCTTTCTCTAGTAAAGTTTAAAACGAAATGTGCGGTGCATCAAACACGTATGCATTAATGTATTATAACAAAATAATATATCAAACGATATCGAATAATAACTATGATTAATAATTCCTTGAATCCGATTTAATTATTTGACTGTAATACATATCAGTTATCTATCATACGACTGTTTCGTGTATACAATTAACTAATTGTTCGTAGTAAATTTGCTTTTATTGATATTCGTGTACTTTCTTGTGTTTGATTTTTAGTGAATTTTTAGATCTTATACACATTTAACATTTATAACTGAACAGAATATTTTCCGAGACTCTAGCAAGTATTTATTTTCAATTTTGTTACAAATGTCTACTAAATTTATTTGGTCGACAGAAGATAAGATATTACAAGACGAAGACCTGCGGGTAAAAACTAAAAATTGACCAAACTATTTGTTCTTTTTTTTATTTGGTATACTGTTTGACAAAATTTGAAACATCAAATACAAACCTATATCAAAAACAAATTTAATCTTAAAATTTGAAATATTCGTATTTTTTTTTATCTAAAATAGGTATATAGAATATAGATACGCCTTGAATTCATAAGACTACAATGCATGTGCGAAAAAAAAATACATCGCTTGCCGTACTACATTATATTATATTGTTATAAATGACACAGTCTACAGATGATATTTTATAGCGTGGGGAATGAGGATACGACACATTACATTGTATGTGCTACTGCTGCAGATTATGTTTATTTTTTTTCAGTTACTATATATGTATATACTTAATTCAAAGTTATGTATATACAGAGTGAATCACAAATCATGATTAACCCCATTTTATCCTTTAACAATGTACTTATTAACATTATAATTTTTGGAATGTCGAATTATCTTCTATAAGAACATGTTTTCAAATACTGAGATTTATTTAGATTTGTTTATACTATTTAACGAGTGCACAAACAATTTAATCTTTGATTTCAAATGTGAACTACCCTTTTTTGCTATGAATTATTAAGATGGTTTTCTTAAATAACTCGATAACAAACCATGATAATAGGTTTAGATCATATTAGGGTTATAGTTATTCATAAAATAATATTAAATAGATGTTTTACTTAGTTAATTGATAATTAAAAATTTTATTAAATCACTGTTTATACATTTTTTTAAACGGCTGTATTTACTTGCATCCCGTACCATAGTTGATAAGAATTTGCAATATTACAATATCTCAAATGCTCGGACACGACTTACCTATGATATTTATTGACGATAATTTTACGTTTCCCTCCTCAATTATGAACTGAGTGTTTCACTATAGTTTTCGACGAACCACTAACTCATGTAAATCATTTCATTCGAAATTGAATTCTTTATTTTATCACTCACGCCCTAATATTTTCATGTTCATCAAAATACTAAAATAATTTCAAATTAATACATAAATTCTAATTAACAGTTCGAATAAAAAAAAATAAAGTTAACAGTATGTTATTAAGGTATAACTAATATATGTCCTAAATGTTTACCTAATATTGATTTATAACAACATTTATAGATTTTTTTGGTTCAATTTTTTTTTAATTATATGACAATATCCATACCTATATAATATTTTCATATTATCTACATATCGTTCTGAAATTAGCGATTTTGTGAAATATTTTAAAAGTTTTTTAATAATTATCAAATATAACAATGTACATACCTATACCTACTCGTATATGTTTTTTTCTTGTGTGAGTATGTCTAACTATAAAATTACATTGTTAGAAAATTATAATTCGTGACGCGATTAACACATTAATATAAACAATAAGTAAGTTGCGGTCTAGCCACTTGGACGCAACTATCACCTCTAGTAATAACTAATAATTAACAAGTAACTTGCATCCAAACTGTTCAGACGCAAGTGACCGGCTATTATCAATTTGGAACGCAAGTAGCATACACATTTTTTATAGATTAATGATTAACATTAATTGGTTAAAAATAACTGATAAAAAAAAGAATTTAAATAATTATAAAAAATGTTGAAATAAAATGAAAATTAGTTTGCTTGGCGAATCACTCTGTGTAGTGCATATAAATACGTTTATAGATAGGTCAACTCGACGTCGTCATATGATATAACTGCAGCTGTGCAATATGTTATAACGTGCATCCGACAAATGGTCGTAATGGCATTTGTAGGTGGGTAATACGCACATAGCTTGTATAGTTATCGTCGGTCAGTAGCCACAGCCGCTGACAGGACGGCAATTGCGAACCCTAATAATACCGGACCATGGTGATAATAATATAATATATCATTGGTTGATACAATAACGGTCTGTGAAGTGTGCGACCTATTGCCATATTTGTTTTATCGAAAAAAATAAAATAGAAAACTAGAAAACCAGTGAAACGTTTGATGAGTCTACAATCGCACGTCAGCCAGCATGTCCCCTATGATTTTAAATTATTTGATACAAAATTCGAAGATAGAAGAAAATTTCCAAATTTATCAACGTTCCATTCAAATAATGTATCATTTAATAAAACCAAACAAGATATTTTTCACGGATAAAAACTGTTTACAAATCGTAGTAGTTTTTTCGTAGTTACTCTCCCTCCTTCTCTCCTCGTAACTTTATGTAATGCTATGACTGTAGAGGGGAGTATAGGTATATAATATGTGTCTTAGTCATCATTTATACCATCGACTAAGCCACGTCATGCCACTGGTCGTTTCAGGGTGTATGTTAAGTATACAGGAAGCCCGAGCGCGAGTCGCCAAAGGGTTGTTCAGTCCACTGCGATACGCGTAGCCGATACAATCATTATCATGAAAATATGGGTAATTATACAACATTATTATAATTATTATATTATATTTTAAGCAATTGAGATGACCAATAATCACTTTTTTTTATTTTTGACGTTAAAAACAAAAAACTATATTTCCTGTTTATAGACCACTTTAATTATTAGCAATAATCTATAAAATAACATAATATTATGTACATTTTATTATTTTCTGAACAACCTTTCGGTACACCATGTAATATCTCTAATGTATCACGTGCATATTTACGAGTACAATTATTTCTATAAAGCGAATACGCACCAGCCAATAAATTCCAGACTTGAACGATAAAAATAATATTATGTATTATCGATTTAAACGGAGTTTATTTCATCATCATCATCATCATCATCATTATTACTATTATTGCAATAAACGATTAAAATCGTAGGTACATAGGTTATACGCGTATGTAGACAGAATACGATTGTATAAAAACGATGTTCATTTTTTATTATTATTATTATAAATATTATTAATGAATGACACATCGTAATAAATAACATTAACTTTATAATAGCTTCCGTACACACATGCGCGTGTTGATCACCCCATAAAATATTCTATACGTTTTTTTCCTTCCTGTATATTCCTTTTTTTTACCATTATTATTATTATTATATATTATATATATTTTTTTACGACTTCCGAAGAGAAAACAAAGCGATCGGGATTACGAGCATAATAGCATGTATGATATAATACATAGATAATAGTAATAATAATAACGTGTAAAACAAATTCGAAATCTACACCAAACACTCTCATAAATACATGAAATTATGAAAATAATACATTTATTAGTATATAATATACATATGTGTAAAATTAATATCAAAAATTACCTCTTTCGTTGTCTTCTGCTAAAATTTATCACTTTATCGACCATTTGCCCTAGACATTTGACAAGTATAATAAATATTATTTTTTTTTTAAGAACTGCATACGTTTTTTAGCTATGTTTAATGTTTATAATATAAATTCTAACCACCGAATATGTGTGTATTGTGTAATGACTAATGATACACATAGCGGGTTATTACGACGATATTATCGTACGTAGGTACATATTATATTATAGTAATATTTCTTGTAACGACAACGACGACGACAACACTATACAATCATTATAATAAATTTACAATCCATGACCGACGTTGAGGTATCGATTCGAGTACGTCAGTTACACACCTACAGTCATCGGTGCTTTTTCACAATGTCCAGTTCGTTTTTTTTTCGTACGTAATACTTTAAACCCGCACACATAGTGTTATACACTGTAATGTACATAGAGTGAGACGTGATGGTTTTCCATTTTAATTATACAAAGTAATTATTTTAACACGAACCACTTATTATTTTATGAGCTATTAAGATTTTTGAAAATATTTCTTTTATATAATTTAAAGTAAAAATGAAATGATGTTTTTTTTAAGTCAATTATATTTTTATCATTATATTATTTTAAATGCTTTACTTTTTTGAATAAAAATATACATTTTTCATTTTATATTCTGAAGCAAAATATTTTTCGGAATATTTTAGTACATACAAATCAAAATTAGTATGAGTTTTTAGTATATGAAGCTTAGGTAAGCAAAACATAGTATTCCAACATTTTGCAGGGTATCCCCTTAATCCTACACTGTTCCAAAATACTTTAAATGCTTATAATTCAAAAATAATTACTTGTATAAATTTCAATTTTTATGGATCCAGATATTCCAAAAAAGTATTCTGCTTCAAAATACGAAATTAAATATGAATGTTGTCGTTCAAAAAAAAAAAAAAAAAAATTTAAAAATTTAAACGATAAATAGAATATATTTATATATTTTTTTTTAATTTCATGTATTTCACTATAAATTATAAAAAAGAAATATTTTTAAAAATATTAATAGTTTTTTTTTTTTTTTAAATAATGAGTTATTCACGATAAAACAATCATCTTGTATATAATTATTATAGTGGTTTAGGAGAAACAAATTTGATCACTCTGTGTATAACCAGATGTTATTAAGCTACAAATTGTTTTCCACGATTAAGGCACATCGTCGTAACCGTTTTATACCGTAGATATTACGTCGCACGTATTATCGTACACTTACTCATATTATTCTTTTCAATTATCGTCCGTGGTCACGTAAGGTGTCTAAGAGTGCGAGGAGTTGTATCTGAAGGACGCAGATTTGAAGGGTTTCTTACGGTCTTGGTCACCGTGACGCCGATCGCGTTCCCGTCGACTGGTTGAATCCCATTTATTATATCGTTTATTCTAAATCGGTGGCAGCGATATACCGCATAGTGCTTTTTTCGTTTTCTAAGTAAGTTTAACCGTATACTCGTATGCATATCACTATCAAAACGAGAAGTTCTAGAAACTCGTAATCGATCGTTCTAAATTCGAATATTTTCGTGTTCCGTTTACCATATAACTACCCCACAAAATCCTGCAAGCCGCACTATGAGGTTAAAATCACACAGGTTGCCGCTGTGGTCACGGTCGTTACTGCGGTCGCTATAAGACCGTACCTAATGTCCAGACCTATTAACTTACAGAAACAGTTAATTGAAATTCACTAGCCGAAATAACTTTATTTTAGATTCACCATGATAGCAAATTATTGTCTAATATAATATATTATACTTTTATTATTGAAACCACGTTTAGACTGTTAAGTCTTAATGAAATCTAAATTATTTTTAGTTTTTAGAAGTTTAATAAACCAGAAAATCTATTTGTAATACAACACGTGAAATTTGATTTTCAACAATAGTCAATCATCATTCATCCTACATCTACTTTGGTCTATCACTTTGATCTGGCGACGAGGCTCGGACAAGGTAATCTATAATATATTAATCTATATTTTGCATGTAACATTCATTATTTATTATTTTACCACAGTCGTTATTTTTATTGTGATTGTATACCATCGCGAGTTCTAAATCAAATGCTCGCAAAACGCATTAAACACTGTAACATATTATCTAACTTAATACGTAGACACTACGTTACAGTTTTTCTTCAATGATTTTAAGTTAGTTAAATTTCGGGAAATTTTAGTGATTTTATGTCCCACAATGCGGAAATCAGAGAAAAACCATCGTCGAACTATGGCAACGTATCGGACCGTAACTTAATAATATAAAGTCGATTAAGATAACACAAACGCGTGTATTTAAGCGTCATTATATCGCTAACGCTTTAACAAACACGCCGTGTTCACCTCCACAGCAACAACAGCAGAAGCACACCGGCAGCAGCTGCCGGGCGTCGAATTAATGTTTGTCAAGAAACCCCTATATTCGCTAATATAGCATATTAAGACGCCACACCGTCCCTACACCCCCACCCCCACCCACACTCACAACATGACCGAAGAACCACCAGATCCTTCGCTCCCCTCCCACAACAATACACACACACACACACACACACCCACCACCCCTGAATCTACCCTGGCCCCCCCCCCCCATGACTCACGCGCGCGGGCTTGTAATGCCGACCCTAAATTTAACGCGGCGTATTAAACCGCAGCGTATACATATTTTATTATTACATAGAAGCTAGGTATACAATACACTACACCTTATTATTAATATAATATATGGACGTATATCGTGTACGCGTTTGGAGGAAAGGGCAACACCAGTCCACACCGGAGTGTATGTGTATAGTATATACATACGTGTTTAACAATATAAATATGTGCTTAAGCCGGCGACGGTGTTATTGTAATATAATGTACTGTTAATATTATTTCGTACCTACCTGCCGTGCGTATTAATAGCTGTGTTTTCGATTCGTTAGGTTCTCCAGCGTTATTTATACGGCATAACATAATGCTTTAATTATATCGATCCGCGCCGTTTTGCACCCTCATTTTTTACGCAAACACGCGCACGTCTCCAGCAATGCGCCTACTGCGAGTCGTCGCACATGCAGTCGTCCGACTACGGTACTGATATAATACCTAATTATATAATTTTCGTCACCTCGTCGACTCTCAACCGATATTGTAATTCGTATGTTGTACGACATAATAATAAATTGCGAACGATACAGTGGATTCGATCCCGAGACGAAGCTAAGTTTGAATTGTTGCTTTCTTACCTTATCAGTTATCAGCATTACACGCAACTTATTTATCAGCAATAGAATCGATACTATATACCTAAAACATACGTGTCGGCCGTCAGGCAGAATGCGTAAAATTGTATTTTCAACTTTAAAACCCTTTTTAAATAATTTTAGAAATGATGTGGAGTTTTAAAACGTATTTATTTAAATTTTTCGAAAAGATAATATTTATTTTTAAATATCGGTTTGTTTTGTTTGTTAATAGCTTATTTTATGGTCCATATTATTCATATGACTTTTAATTATTTTTAATTATTTAAATTTATAAATCAATAACTATTACATAATCAGAAAAGCTTTTTAAAAATATTTTTCAGTAATTATATTCCCAAATCTGCAACACGCTTACGAGGATAATATTCCCAATATATTCAATTATAATACAGTTTAATAAAAATAAACTTAGGATAGTTATAGCAGTATATAAATTAAATATTTTGTCAATTTATCTGATCTCGCAATAGCGTCAGAAACCTTTTTTTATTTACTTTGTTGACTTCATAATCTACAATTGTTCATATTTAAGCATTATAAGTGTAAATTACAACAGTAATTTATGACTTGAATAGCAGAATTAAGAGACCTTAACATACTTTGACAGTTATTAAAAGTGATAATGTAAGTTAGACTAAATTAAACTAATAAAATCATTAGAATAATTATTTATACACAATTACAATGTTATAAACAACCAATTTTTCTATATTTTACAGAGATGACCATAAATATTTATTGACACAAATCTTTTGTTTAAAGGATTTATTTGATTATGAAGATTCAAATTGAATTTCCTGTTAAATTTTTTGCTAAATTGTAAATAAGAAAGAAGGAAATATCATTATTAAAGAACTGATTTAAAGTGTAAAAGGTTGATTTGGTTATAGCTCGAAGGGTTTTGAATTGGAAACGTTGAATACGGTTGGTGTTTGAGATTTTTCAGATCTCTATGATAGGATTTCGTATGTCCAAATTAGTTAGGTTTGAGGTGTATAGATTATTAATATTTTGTGATTAGAGGTTAAGATAAATCGGAGAAGAATAAACCGATCATTTAAGAATAAGAGTTTCTTGTGTAAATGTGGAGACCAAATATAACGTTAATCAACGGTGATGCTTAAAATAGCGAATGCATTGCAAAGTTGGCAAAGTTTATTCGCCAAGAGATGTAAGTGCGGACAAAATATAACAATATAATATAAATTACACGACTACAGTACAGCACTCTATTTCATAAAAATAATAGAATTTGTTATTTTTTCTGTTTACACCCGTATGTCGACGGGTTTTAAAAATGTTAGAAAGTCGTCGTTTTTTGACACGTTTTAATTGAAATCCACTTGTGAAACTTTCAGGTGTCTTGACAAATTTTGCGCGCCGCTCTCGACGGATACCTACCATGATTTAATCTGTGACACGCGTTTGTGCGATTGATCAAAAATCAATTACTTTATAATTATTTTACCGGCACGACTTGCCATTGTGCACACGGCAGTCGCCGTTACATAACGTCATCATGTATAATGTTAACATTGACATTTTATAAATCGATACGTATATTATTATATTCTTTTTTTTTCTCTCCGTAGAACATTACACCGATGATGGCCACTGAAAGCACACCGTTGACCAACACCGATGACGTCACACCGGTATCAGGTTCCGAGTACATATCACTGTCGAAACATGAAACTGACCACACTCCACCGTGTCTGAAACCAAGATGTTGCGTGTACGCCGCACTGCTGTGAGTTGTTTTAATTATAACACTATACATATATTGATAAAATGATTGCGTACCTACGTATTAAGTGATATATTTTTATTTATTTTTTTTTTTTTTGACATACACTGTCATTTTCTGAGTCGGTTTAAAAAAAAAAACTCGTGCCAAGCACTTATATGTACACGTATAATTTTATTATGGTGAATAGTGAAAAATAGGGTTATATCGTAAAAATCGTTGAAATTGTTCACGATGAGAACGATTTAATATTCAACCTGCAATATTCTTTTATTTATTATTATTTTTTTTTTTTTTAATTTCAATTAATTGATTTTAATTTATTATTTAAATATCCACTAATTTCTACTAAATCACGTCATCTAAAAAATGTCAACTTATTAACATAGGACAATTTTTTTTTTTTTTAACCTTTTTGTTCTACTTATGAAAAAACATATTAAACAGAAGGTTGATTTTAAAATTAATCATTTTTAATTTTTCTTTGATTAATTTAGTTTTTAATATAAAGAAGCTTAAAATGTTTAATATAACAATATAACTATACTAAATAACATCGAGTATCAACAACGATATTTAAATATCTATGAAACAATGTTTAACACTATGTTTAATTTCCTAGATATTAATTTTCAATGATAATATAAGGTTTTCCTTTTTTTAGTATTTTTTTTTATAAATAGACAAATGAAACTTATTTTTAGCATTAAATATTAGCTATGAAAATCCTAATACAGTCAAACTTGGTTAACTCGAAATTGAAGGGACCGGAATAAAGTTCATGTTATACAAGAATTCGAGTTATCCAATTTGAAAATTTATAAAACAGTATAAAATATATAAATTCCTATATATTTTTCATATGAATAAAGTAATGTAATAAAAAATATTTACTGTGTATTTATACATGAATTATGTATATGTAATTTTAAAAAGGTTAGAAAATTATATCAAAAAGGTATATACTTTTGTTTGAATTTTGCTGTTGATCGCAGCGTTTGTAATGAATCGTTTTAAGCCATTTATCGGTAACGATAAAATTAATGAGTAATGACCTTATTTTTGATATTAAAATATATATATAGGTACTCGAAGGAAATATCACAATTTTATAAAATTAATAAAACTCAAAACTTCGTGTTATCCACGAAAATATTCGAGTTAAACAAGATTTTTTTACATTTATTAAATAAGAAATTCTAAGAACCGGAGAAAAAGTTCAAGGTATCGACAATTTCGAGTAAAAGAAGTTCGAGATGACCAAGTTCTACTGTATAAAAACATATAAAAATGGTCGATTTAAAAAAATTTTTTAACTTAAAACCCTTTTATTTTAATACAAAAATTAATTACACCGTGTGACGTGTACTGAACGTGGTTACTATTTCCGTTGTAGTTATTTTATAAATTGAATATCTGTCGGATTGCATACTACTATAATTATTATATAGATATCAATTATTCGTTAGCAAATTAATTTTAAACAAACAAATTATTAACAATTTTCAGAGTATCTTATTATTTATTTCTAACGACACCTCTTTCTATTTAATATATTTAAAGGCTCATACCAAAGTCATGATTAACTATAAAAATATACAGTAGACATGTCACTTGATATATTTTTTAATCTTAATGTTCACAAAAAGTTTTTATTCCAAAGAAACAAAATTTACCCTCACCATATATCACTATAAAATCTTTTCAAATATCATATCTTTAAAAAGACGCATATCAACTTTCAATTTTTAATAGAACTTAAAGATATTTTTTTTCTTATTATTTAATTGATAAAAAAGTAACTTATTATGCATTATCGTTTCTTAAATCGATATTTTATTTAAATCTAAACATTTAAAATAATTAATAGTCCTACTTGAGCTATTAATGTCAACAAATTAAAAATGCTAATTGGAAAAAATAATAATAGTGCCTAATTTAAATTAAAATAAATAAACTTCTAGAATATTATTGATATTATTCAAACCAAACCAATTGAGATTATAATTGCTTTTATAATCCAGTTTTAGTTATTAAATATATATTAACAACAGCCGAATGGTATAGTTCAAATATAATTTGTTTTTCTAGTCAGAAGTATTAATATAGTATATACAATTAGTATAATTATATTACTCAAACAACTTATTTTATCATTAATTTATTAAAACAACCACTCTTATATAAAACTAAATAATTTTAAATAATTAATAATTTAATATACAATATTTATTCCGGTATCATTATAAGTAAAAGTGCAATTTAAGTATTTATAATATAATATCATAATAAATATTAAATAGTATTGGTACGAATTTTTTGAAATTAAAATTAAAAACAATCAATAATTATTAATCTTGTCAAATTTTATTTGATTTTGCTATGGATGTTATGAAATCGTGCACAAAATTAAAAAATAAAATAACTGGAAAATACTACTTTAAAATAAACGATGCGCTCAAAACCATAGGCTTAACTTTTCTGTATATTTCTATTATATGTAATAATATACTTTTTCTACAGCTAAAATAATCGTCATAATTTATTTAATAATATTATTTACAATAATTTTTTGAGCCTCAAACTCAAGACGGCAATAATCAGACTATAAAATAATAAAGATACAAACTTGGTCAGATTCAAATCAGAAGAGAAATGTTTTCGGAAACTGCATAATGTCAAAGTATTATAAAGTTTGTCCTTTATCACTTCATCAGTACTTATATAAAACCCTATTAGGACATAATAATATAAACGTCGTGAGTTTGAAAAAAGATTAAGTTATCGATTAAATATATAGGTAATCCTATGTATTTATTTAGAGTGTTTCAAGCGCATATTATTGTTAGGCTTCTACGTTTCGGAAATTATACGTTATTATGTAACGTTATAGACTATCGTAATAAAATAGTAATTTGGTAAATGCAATACATACTATTGACGGATTGACGGATTAATAAGAAATTCTGAAAATAAATACGTATTTAAAAGACATTTTTTACATTTAAAAAAAAAAATTGTTGAACGTATTTAATTTTTATGTATGTATTTTATGAATTAAAATTCAAACGTTTATATTTTGCTAAATAAAATCGACTCTTTTTTTTTATTTTTGCAATGGTCAGTCAAGACTGCATCAACAGTTTTATCTCTATTATTTTACGTCATTGCCATGCCATTCAATATAGTCTGAAATTGAATTTAAATTCATTTTATAGAGCATTTTTTTTTTAATATTTGTTATTGACATAATACTTAACTCTTATTTCCGTCATAGAATTTATTAGAAATATTTTGATTCGTCCCGGCTTAAAAGATGTACTTATTTGATAGTATAGTTAATAAATATATACAAAATATTAAAAAATATTATTCAACATATCAATTTTACATTTTGGGATGGTCAAGACCGCATAGACCCTTTTCCCTTACACCATAATTCCACCACTGATATCTACCAATACGCTTCGTAGTGGGTTTAAAGGAAATGTTCACTTAATTCGATTGGAGAACTAACTGGCTGATTTTTTTTTTTTTGTTCTGAGTACGAATCAATTTTATTTATCTTTCAAAAAACTTTTCGAATAATGAATGTTATAGTCATCTGTAAATTTTTATGGATGACCCTCTATAACTGGAGATATTTTCAGATAGATATAAGAACGGATTCTTTAGGTTCGATTAAGTCCTGTGTTTGAAAATAATTATTACTACTTTGATCTCTGTCGTTGTGAATATTAAAAATAATTTATGTTAATTGATGTTAAATTAGGGCTTGTTTAATCTGAATAACTAAAGTAGAGGTACATGTATCAATTGTAGCCAACATTTTTCATTAAATCTCTGGTAACTTATTCAATACATGGAAAATGAAATCGGAGTGTATTATAATATAACTTGTAGGTATATATAATACATGTATAAGCTATTGAAAATATTGAACAAGTCAACGGGAAATACGAATTTGGTGCCACCGGATCTTTAATTGACGGTGTGTCATCTATGATTGTGGCTAAGCGATCATTGTTGACACGAACGTTCATCGTCAACGTGTTAGGTAAAATTCGTCCAGTAAACGTACGTTTATTTAAATGCATTGCATAATATAAAATATTATTATTGTGATCATAATTATTTTATTTTACTCGACGAAACCGCAGAGCACAACAGGCTTCGAGTTACCACCGCAGCAGTTTTCCGTTTATTTAATTAGACTTTTACGTTTGAATAATATAATCGTTTAGCGTTTGATAATGACATTTTAGTAACGTATATACATGCATATCATATACGTACGCGCGTTATATTGTACGTGGTAAAACCATTTATAATATTAAACCGGAAGAGAACGTGCAAAATGTGTTGCTGTTTAATAGTATCTCGTTTATCCAACACGCAGTCGCGGGTAATCAAAAGTATATGCGCCATGTCTCCACGATAATAAAATATAAATAATAAAATCGGTTTTCAAAACTTTTCGCATATACACGATATAATAAAACATTGCTAAACGCGTGCTATAAAACAAAAAAATACGCGAATCGTTTCGTATCAAATGTGACATATTATAATATTATAATATATTATAAAATGCGCAATACATCATATTTGCATTTTTTAAGAAATTTGAAAGCAATTATTTTTATAATAGTAAGTAAGTACATAACAGTGTACAATACTGTAAGTCGGAGTTAAAATTGCAATATCACGAGGCAGCTGCTGCAAAGACGGTTAATAGTAGTTCCAAAGAAAAAATATTAAAAAGCGTGCAATGCAAATATTCTACAGCTTGACTATTTTATTTCGGGAAATCACGCGATACAGGTGAACTACGATTATAATATAAAAAATATAATGTTATGTGTATTGTATACAATTAAAAATTAAGGATCATCTATAAACCAAAAGTAAGGGGGAATAAAAACAGAGAGCAAAAATAAAAAAAAAATATATTAATAATTACAAAATAGGTATAAATTATTCGTGTGCGCATGCAACGCACG